AACAGGGAGTTGATTTTTCCCCCATTGACTTATAATGGGGAGGTCGCGAAATTGACCTGACCTTAGGTCACCGATATCAAAATTCCGAGATATACAAATTGCACATACTGGTACCCTAACTAAACCCTGAAGAGAAGAAATTGATCGGTCAAAAACTCTAGCTCTGGCGTGATTGCAAACTTTTCTGAGGTAGCGTCACCAAACCGCCTCTGGTGACCTGACCTGAGGTCAGATCAACTCAAAATTTTCAGACATGTTGCGTAGAAGCCTTTTAGGAAAAGTCAGAAAATTTGAGCTTCCTAGCTCAACGCGTTTGGGAGATATAACCAAAAAACCTCAGGGGGGGGCTCCTGAGGCCCCCCCCGCCAGGAATAGGGTTAAGCTAAGAAACTGGGACAACTCATCCTTTCTACCTGCGGCGGTTATACTATTTATGTTGATGTGGGATATATTTACTTGTTTTTCTTTAAGAGGACCAGGATTTGGTTCTATGCCACCGATAAGCAACAAAGTTTTTATGTTTTGCTTTGCGTTTAGACGTGACCATTGCTTGTGTGAAATGCTGATGACAAGGTACGAACTTGAATGAGGATGATGTGTTTTCAGTGGTTTGCAGGTTGATTTACAATTTTGTACGGGGATTAGGATGTTGAGGATGAGTGTACGTTTACCAGCGACCAGGGATGCCGGGTTGAAGCCGAGGGGTAGTTCAGTTGCTGTCGTCCGTAGTGGCGGGGGCAGTCGCTCGATTTTGCCGGGATCGGACGATACTGAGAGATGAAAAGTGAAAGAGATGCTCTCCCGTGAGCCGGCGGCCACTGCAACACAAAACAAGTCGGTAAACTATCAAGCGGCGACGGCGGACGACACGCAAACAAGTAATAAATGAACAGAAGAGATAAGCGCATACACACATCAACGAAACAAAATTAACTAAAAATAATACGAGTGTAAACGCAAGACCAGATAAATTAGCGCACAGTTGACATTCAAATCTGGGCTTGGGTGGCATTCAGTTTCCATATTGAAGAACGGAATAATAAAACAAACAAGTACAAAACACGTTACCAAACCGATGACTCTCCCCTCCCTCCCCTCACTCACCCCCCCCCGCACACACAATCACAGCACCTGAACACAACACTGGTATAGAGGCTCCCTTCCCTCTCCAGTGTCACCCACCCCTCCAGCCCCGTCCACACCCGATCCCACCCACAGACAATCCCCGGACACAGTACAAGTACCAAATCAAAAACAAGAACACAAGTCAGTCGAACCGGCCGCATCCCGCAGCAGCCGTCCAACATAAGTCCACCGTCGATCGGGGTCCGCCCCGTGAGGCGGACCGGACCTGCGGACCTGCGCACCCTGACAGATGTCAGCGAGCCGACCGGTCCGGACCACTGGCCCCGTCCACACTCGGCAGGGGCAGGTCACTCCCAGGCTCTCCCCAATATAGTTGGCCGCTGCCGAGTCCCAAGAGGGCCCACGCGTCCGAGGCACGACCGGCCGTCAAAGCCACCAACAGGGAGACGCGCCACCGCAGACACGGCCGTCAGACAGCGCCCCAGGCCACCTGGGATCGCCAGCGGTGCGAGTGTCCGAGAGCGGGGTCAAGTGCTGGTGCACTCACACAGCCCCGGGCGCACCCGCCAGACGGGGCCACGGCAGAACGTGTGGTCGGACACTAGGCAGAGGGGCAGACAAACGAGATAGAGGGACACATTAACAAGACGCTGGCAGCCCCGGCGAAAAAAAAACTCGACAGGGGCGCGGCCAGGTGAGCGTCAGGGTCGGCGGAGGGCCGTCCACGGGAGAACGGGTCGTCAGACACAGGGCAGAGGGCAGTCAAGCGAGATAGAGGGGCATACGAATGCTGCACGGATGACCTCGGTAGCTGGGTGCGGCAGGGGCGCGGCCAGGCAAGTGCTGAGGTCGGCACTCGGCAGATACATTGACTGTATCTTGGTTGCAGTTCATTTGACCTTTGCTGACCTCTGGCGACCTGACCTTTGACCTGACCAAAAAATGACCTAAGTGTTTCCGTCATATCTTTTGACGCTCTTTCGAATGCCGCTTGCCGCGTGTCGCTACGTGGCCCAGGAACCGAGCTAGACTGGCGGGGGGGGCGGGGTGTTCAGACCCCCCCCCCCCACGGCCCAGCGCGGAAGTCGCGGAGCACCGGTAAGAGACAAAAGAGAAAAGGTAAGCCTCTTTATCTTTTTCACCAGATAAGGATGCCTGTGAGTTTGAGTTAGACCCAGGGGTTAGACCAAAGTAAGACTACGGTCGTTGGTCGGTTGGGGAGAAATTTGATATTATTGACATGCATTCAATGTATTTTGTGGCACTGGTGACGTCATTCCTACCATTCCATAACTTTATTGAGTAGCCTTGGACGGCGCAAAGCAGAAAACTGTTCAGTTTTTCTCGCTGCCTGCGTTGCCGGAAGCTGAATCAGATCCAATGACGTCAGATTATGTTCAGCTGACCAAGAAGAGAAAGAGAACAGTAGGCTGTGACGTCAATAATCGCGAACGATTTTTCTAGTTGATTATCTCAGCAGGACAATAGCGAAATGCTGAACAGACTTCCATTTTGTTATGACTGTGGGAGGAGGAGCTTGAGCTTCGGAGCTAGAATCTGGAGGGTGAGTATTGACTTTTTTCCTTACGAGTCGGTTTACAGAGTTGAATAGACCTTTTATGAAATTTCTACAACAAATACCTGAAAATTGTGCATTCAGATGCAAACATTTCCTTATAACTTCATGTTTGAATTAGCCACCGCTTGAGGGGAATCAATTCAATTTCGCTTATGAGTTATGAAGGTCAATATTTGGCTTAGTTGGAATTCCAAGGCATCTGAATATAAAAAGTTTGGCTGTGCATACCTTGAAGGTTCTTGAGTTAGACCTGGTTGCTGTTCGGCTGTCAAATTTTCTTATTGGTTTGATTTACCTCTGCGACATCATTTACGTGTTTGTTTATTTTTTACCAAAAGTTTGTTATATTGTGTTAAGTGCTTGATTGTGTTTGTAGATTCAAGATAGGACTGTTGCATGCATTTGATGGTTTCTTCACTGCTCTTGGCTTATAAGAAAGCATCATAAATTGTTTACCCAAGTTCCAATGCATAGGCATAGTCCTTTCACTGATTTTCTGCTGCACTGAAAGTTCTTGTAAATGCTGACTGTATCTTGGCTGCAGTGACCAAAACATCAGCTGAGAATGTCTGGTGAAGGGGTGTCACGTATCAAGTATGACTGGTACCAAACAGACCAGGATGTTGTCATCAACATACTTGCAAAGTCACTTTCATCTGAGGCTGCTTCTGTCAAGATTGAGTGTTCAGCAGTGGAGGTCAATGCAACTCTGCCTACAGGCAGCCCATACAGCCTGCAGTTGCACCTTTTGCATCCTGTGGTGCCAGACTCCAGCTCATGGCGTGTCTTGCCCAGTAAACTGGAGATCAAGCTCCGCAAAGCTGAGGCGTACCGGTGGGCAGCACTGGAGGGCAGCGGCGAGCCTCCGTCGCTGCGGACGGTCGGCGCCGGCGCAGCGGCGGCTGGCGGCGGCGGCCTGCCCTCCCCGTACGCCCGCCCGCCAGCGGCGGCCGCCCGCGACTGGGACGCCATCGCGGCCGAGCTGCGCCGCCAGGAGGAGCAGGAGAAGCCAGAGGGAGAGGAGGCGCTCAACAGTCTCTTCCAGAAGATCTACGCTGACGGCTCGGACGACGTGAAAAAGGCGATGGCCAAGAGCTTCACCGAGTCGGGCGGCACCGTGCTCAGCACCAACTGGAACGACATCGGCAAGAAGAAAACCGAGGTAAAATCACCCGATGGCATGGAGTTCAAAAAATGGGAGAGCTAAATCGCTTGATGGGCGCATGAATGAACACAGACATACCGTTTGTCAAGGTGATGCCTCAGGCTGTCGGACAGTGCATCAAAACGACTTTGTTTTGGCGTTAAGCGACTTTCCGTTAGTCTTGTTTCTGCTCACGGAATTTGATCCCAACAGTTGTGCGTTGGCGTGGCGCTTCTGCTACTGTTCTTAGGGCAGGGTGCATATTTGTCTGTTCAGGGTTTATTCTTTGTTCAGCCATTCTTTACGCATGCTTATGCTTCAAACCTTGTGTGATGAATAACTTGTTGTGTTGTATGCCTACGTTCGAAATGTTTTGCGGGTTGAGTAAAGGCTGGTCATTTGCGAAGTAAATGCGGTAACCAATCGTGGCCGATACAGAGAGTGGAATGGCTGGCAGATTACAAAGAGCTCACTTTGGTGTTTGATCGGAAAACCGCTAAACTGGCCACCTACATTTGTTCACGTCATCCATTGTGCGTGCGAGTGTAACCATTCTGATAGTGTCAATTGTGCTTAATATATGAATATTGAGATTGTATGACCTCTCGTTAGCATTCAACAGGACGTGGTGACAAAGAAGTGCAAAAATCCCGCAGAATGAAGATCTATATGGATGTGAGTCAGGACAGCTGTACACAGCTGTCCTAACTAACATCCATATTCTGTACTGCACATTCTTTCAGAAGAGCCCATATTCGATTAATAATATCACAAGTTCTACGTACTTCATCACAGGCATCGTGCACAAAGTTCTAAAGTTCAGCCATGTGGGAAGCCGTAGGATCAGTCGAGAGGCGCTGGTTCTGACAGAGAAAGGGCTGTGATTTTACAATTTTTAGGTGCATTGAAACCAACCGGACGTGTGTCAAGTGAGCGGTTGTTACAGGGTTTAGCAAGCTGATGCCTTTCTAGTTACCCTAAAGAAAAGGCCAAAGCAATATCGTCAACGTAACCTGGTCATGCGATGAAGGGATGGAAGGGGCAGCATGACTTGCATTGCAACAGATAATGATTGCTAGTTGATCATTGATTACATGCCTCTCACAGTTTAAATTAGGCTGTGCTGCGCATTTTCACAATATATACCTACGTAAATCTTCTACCCAAAGACGTTCCAGCAAATCAAAGTGATGATTATACAAAGATATATATTTGAGTTGCCGGCATCTGCAGCATATTTCGAATACATATTGAGTAAAACACTGGTAAGTATTGGCACCCATCACATGAAACAGCCATCGATTATGAGTGAGCTTGCCCCGATATGTGAAGTAACTACATCCTCGTCGACGCGACATGGGCATGCATGGATGGCCCGCTGCGGGGATGATTGGCACACTGGTTTCGCACTCACAGCACAGAGTTTTGTCAGCCTTAACGGTCAGTCAATGAACTTCGATAAGCCAGGTGGGTCCCGTCGGCAGAGAGCGACCCGACTGGACGACCTCACAACACTGATCGCCAATAGGCACGACACATTCGGACCAAACTGGCACCTCGCATTACTAAGCGTCAGCACTGTCTGAAAAAGGCACTTTCATATTCGCAAAATATGGAACGAGAGCACACGATAGCACAAAAGAGCTGATCCTGAACGAACTAACGGTCATGCACATGGTTGATGGTTTTAAATCGAAGTATTTATAATGTGCCGTAACGCTAAACTGGCATATTCGAAAAAGCAGCAATAAACAGCTCACGGGAATGACATCGATGGTTGGTCCCATTCAGATTTTACCAACTTCTATCATTTGACATTTCGCACACGGACAACAAAGTTTCATGGCAAAAGATAATCCCTACTTAATTTATCTACAATAGGAAATGGAGTTATTGTAAAATATAAAATGTTTCTGACGACTTAACATTAAAAAGATCGACAAAAAAGCGACATGATTAAAAGGCACATCAGGGAAAACATTACCTTTGATGTTAGACGCGCAGAATGACAGCCTAACAAGCCTAACGTTCCTTTAAATGAAGATAGAGATATCAGCCAACGCAATGGCCAACAGAGCATGAATGGACATCCAACACGCAATATATGAAGCAACATGTTTTGGCACGGGCGTCGACGCACTACATACAATTGTGTTAGTAAAATAATTGTTGCATGAAAAGTTTATGATGAAACCCAATGACGACAACGGTCCCATTATAAACACGTCCCAAAAAGCACAACGGCAATGGTACAAAAAGCACATGCATCGATCACATGACCTACAATAGTGTCCACAGGCAACGCCCGGGTCAGTCCGTGCCCGACGGTTCTGTAGATACCGCACGGGATCTGGAAGTGGTCAGCCACCGAACGTGCCGCCGGAAGACCAACTGGCTGATTAGACTGGCTGGCGAGACGCCGGCAATATACGGGCGTGACATGTTAAGTACGTTCCATGAAGCGACCCCTACGCTACAATTCGTTTACATCTTGGAATAGCACTTCAAGAAGAGTAAGCCCGTGAGAAAAAGCTATCCCGCATGCGACAACTTTACCTTGCCCTATACATCAAAGCTCTTTCCCTCCCTTTAATCGTTGGCACCAGCAAAAGGCACGCCTTGACAGCCGTCGTTCAAGCCCCTAACAATGACGAAGGGTTGCCACCAGAAAACGACAATGACTGGTAACAAATCAGCGTCCCCAGCAGCCCCTCGGAGCGGTCCCGCCCACCGACCCACCCTTCCGAGCGCAGCTGACCGACCCGCCGTCCCAGGGCGGCTGACCGACCGCTGCGCTTCTGGCCGAGACCCGGCGCACCGAACCTGTGGCTCCGCTCAGCGGCGGCACAGCAGACAGCTGCCGGCGTCGCGGCGCAGCAGACACACGGCGTGGAACGCGTGTCCGCAGCGGAAGGTGAGCACGCCGTGCGGCTGCAGCAGGTGACGGTTACGGAGCGGCAGGCAGCAGGCCGGGCAGTCGGAGGTGAGGGAGACCAGCGTGCAGCCGCCGGGAGCGGGGACTTCGGGCAGAGGAGGGGGCGCCGGCCGACCCAGCTCACTGAACAGCAGCTCCAGGGCCTGGGGAGACGGAGAAAGTGTGAATTGTGAGGCCAGGGACAAAGGTTGATGCTACCGTGAGACAATGAGAACCGTAACAGCGCCTCAGACCACATCAACCTCAAAGAGAGACAGCGAGGAACGCCACGGCGCATCGGGACAACAGAGCACCATAACGGACAAGAAGGACCGCCTACGGAGCGGCAGACCAAAGATCGGTGACAGGAGGGGTCGAAAAGACACGCCGAGTTAAAGGAGAAAGACACGAGCTGGCAACATGAGGGGTAGCCAAATTTGATCTGCATTCTGTAACAGGAGGAAAAATATCAATAAGCGGATGGCATCAGGAAGAGAAGATGCGTTTGGGTATCGTGTAAAACACACTTACATCCTCTGGCACCGGAGGCGGACGGAGTCCCAGCGTCTCGGCGCCGAAGGCTCGGCCCAGTCCTGGCGCCCGGCGGTTCAGCATGGTGCTCAGAATGACGTCCCGGTAGCAGCTGAGGACAGAATGGATCAGACTCAAACACCGTTCGACCGGTCAGGTGTAAATAACGCTCAGACTCAGCGCTATTGAACAGGCGGCCAACGTTAAACGAATCAGACTTCTAGCTGTTGTAGACTCAATGTTGATATAAAAACAGCAAAGCTGCTATTCTGGTCTCAATATTGCAATATATCACAAGCTTTTTGCTAACCTCACTTGACCCCATTACTTCTGATGCGTAAAACCTAAAATGAAGATAGCACAGCAAAACAACGCTCAAGACGGCGTGCGTAGACGTTGTCAACCATCTGAACATTCCCCCTCTCGATCTCTTCCCCTCACCTGGCGGTCAGCTGGCACGGTGCGACTTCGGCAGCGGTCTGCAGCAGCCGTACGGCCGCCGCTGGTCCCTCCTGGCTGGTAACAAACGCCAGCAGCGTCTGAACGGTAAGGGGCCGCCGGTCTCCCTCGGCCGCGTCCACCGACTGGAGCGGGTCCCCGCAGCTGTGACAGTGGCCCGGGCGGCCGGCGGCCAGTGCGGTCAGCACGGGTTTCCAGGAGGTCAGGTGGGGGACGGCTGTCTGGAGCAGCGCACAGTCGTCCAACTGACAAAGCACAGCTGCCAGCGGCCGGCGGTCGGAGCTGTCACCGCCCGTCTGCAGCCAGCCGGTCCAGTCACCGAGTGTCCACAGTTCCTCAGAGAGCTGCTGTCCGCTCAGCCGGGCGGCACACAGGCGGCGCAGCAGACTGGCGGCCGGCCGCGGCGCGAGGTGGGAGCCCGGCCTCGGCCAGCCACACTGACACCGCAGCCGCACCGCCTGCCGCCGCCACACGGCAGTCAGCGCTGACTCTACGGCCGCCGACAGCTCGGCGTCAGCTAGTACCGCTGCCGCCACCGAGCCTCCAGCCGCCGTCAGGTATGCAGTAAATGCGGCAGCGACGCGGCCAGGGGCGACAGCATACCGGCAGATGTACAGCACGTCCAGCGCACTAAGCCGATCGCTCTGCTGGACACAGAAGGCGGCGGCGGCGCTGGGACTCGCGCGGCACAGGCCCGCCGCCAGCCGCGCCAGAGTCAGCCAGTCGAGCTCAGCTCCCGCAGTGAGCTCCATGGCCAGTGCGGCGTCTCCGGGCCGAGCCGCGAACGGCCCCAGTCGCGCCTCAGTGCCGCTGAGCAAAAGACCCCATAGCCGGGCTCGTGCGGAGGCGGGTAACGCACCCAGGCCCGCACGGAGCTCTGCACCGGGTACCAGGTAGAAGAGGCGGCGAGTGAGCAGGCCGGCCAGCCAGGCGGGACTGCCGGCGGCCGGTGAGACACTGACACCACACAGCTCAGACGGCTCCGGGTCACAGGGGGTTGGTGAGACCGCAGACTGGGTGTCTGTCAGTTCCTTCACGGCAGCCGGGTTCTCGCCCTCTTCTTCACAACTGATGACACTTCGCTCAACACAGCTGCCTTCTCTTTCGTTATCGAGGTGGATAGCGGCTAGTTTGTCGGCTACGTCCCCGTTGTGCTCAATGTCACCATCTTGACAATCCGCCATTTGTGCCGAATATAAGGTCTCTTCTGAAAACTGTACGCCACTATCTGTATCTGTGCTGGCCTCAATACTTATGCAGAACTCACTTATTGCGCTAGGACTCTCCAAAGATTCATTACCGCTGCCCAGTTCGCCTAGATCCGAGGGTCTGTTTCCGATACTTTCCACTGACGTAGCCAACGCTGCTGTATCTTTTGTTTCCTCTTCTGACCGACCGCTAGAGGCCATCATGGCACCACCGTTCTGTTCAGAGGCGTCGGTGCCTTCTGTCGTCACAGCCACACAATCCGCCAGCTCATCACACACCTGTTCATCGCTTGCCAGGAAGAGTAGAACACTGCCGAGCCCTCGCGACACCTTATCTCGCAGCGCGGTAGGCCCCGGCAGGACGCCATTACACACAAACTGGGGTGGCTCGGCGCAGAGCTGGCGCAGCGCGGGGTACGTTTCACGGTCCGACACAGTCTCAGGCGATGACTTTTGCAGGCGATAGTGTACCGTGGCCAACGAATCCACCCAACAGAGCACCTGCGGCAGGCTTGGCCGGTCTAAGAGGGCCGCCGCCGCCGCTGCCAGCTCGGAGAGAGCTGTCTCGGTCGGGGACACGGTAGGACTATTTCCAAGCGACGCACTGTCGACGTCCCGGCGGTCTCCGCTCGTAGCACCCTTAACTTCGCTACAGTCAACGCGCGGATGGCTACCAACATCCTGGCTATGCTCACTCTGCTCCGGCCGCTCCGGTGTCCTGTCAGGAGGGTTCGAGTCACCGACTGGTCCCGAGGCTTGCCGACGCCAACGCTGCACTAACCGTTGAGCACCAGAGGACACGGCACCCTTGACGTCCTCCACCAGATCTGAAAAGGCGTCCAGCACTTCTGGGTGCAGCGCCAGGCCAGGGGTGTAGCCATACGCGCCCAGCTGAGCGGCGGCGGCGGGCGCACCACGCCGTGGAGAGCCATCACTCAGCGAATCTTGCCACTCCATGGGAGCCGTTAGCGGTGGCTGTGTCGGCATTGGCGGTGGCGGCGGCGGCGGGGGCGGTGGTAAAGGGGGCGAGGTCGATGGTGCTGGCTGTCTTTGAGGCAGCCGATCGGACGGTGATGGCGATTCTGTTACAGCTGCAGCCGGCGGATCCGGCGGCCGTGATTCAGGGGACGCGCTGGTCGGCCGATCAGCGAGTCGGGGCCGGGGCCGCACCCGCCGCTTACGACTAGATCTGAACACAATCGCATCATCGGCCGGGTTTGAGGGCGGTTGCGGTGCCGACGCAACGGGCGGCTTCGGAACCGGCGCAGCCTGCGGCTTCGGCGCTCGCGGGGGCTCTGGCATTGGCGGCACTGGAGGCTGCGGCGCCGTCGCATTAGGAAGCTTTGGCTCCGGCGAAGCACGATTTGCTGCTGGTGCAGCGGGTGGCTCCAGGACCAGCAGAACAGGTGGCTCTGAGATATTCGGTGCAGCGGGTGACTCCGGTACCGCATCAGTGAATGACTTTGATACCAACTCAGTGGTTGACTCCGGGACCAGCGCAGCGTCTGGCTTCGGTACTGGCGCAACGGGCAGCTCCTCCAGACAGCCATCGGCCGGGATAGCGTTCGAAACCGGACGTTCCTCGTCTGTGCCCGGGCGTTCCGCGTCTGTCACTGAACAGTCCTTCTCTGGCGCCGGCTGCTTTTTCTCCTCCTCTGCTGCTTCAGACGCTGGCTCAGCGGTCGGCTTCTTCAACACATCGCTTTCCTGGGTTTCAGTAACATTCTCGCCTTCTTTTCTGGTCTCCGCTAACTTCTTCTGCGGCTTCTTTGCAGTTTCCGCTGCAGCTCGCTTATGGACTGACTTCTTCTCGGTTCTACCGTTGGTGAGCGGCGTTGTTGCCTGCCTCGGCGTCCGTTCGGATTCGCTCGACGTGGTAGCGCTGGACCGTCGCCGTGTCGGTGCCGGAGACTCTGCCTCAACAGCGACACCGTCTTCCGACAGCCTGTCTCTGAGAACCGCCGCCAGCCGCTTCAGCTCCACCTGCATAGCCTCGTCGTCGGCGAACTGACGCACGGCCTCCCTGAGCACCTGTAGTGGCAGCTGGGTGCGACACAGGTCCGTCAGCTCAGTGTGCGACATCAGGAACCGGGCGCACTCGCCGGCGCCGCGACTGGCGCGGAGTTCACGGACAATCTGTGACGGCCGGCGCACCAGGAGGCGCCGCAGCGCTCCGCCCTCACACTGCACGTACAGCTCGTCTCCGACGGCGGCCAGGTCACGTACCTTGGCGTGCACGCTGGTCCAGAGCAGCACGCGCCGCGCCGCCAGCTCAAACACAAACAGAGCGTCCCCAGAGAAGGCGGCCACCGCGCCGCCCGACAGCGGCACCAGCTTGAGCAGGCCGAGCGCTGACTTGCCGCCGCCGCTGCCGCCGTCCTGCAGACAGGCCGGCTGGTCGCAGGCGGAGACCACGCGCCGCGCCGTGGCCTCGTCCAGCGCCGGTTTTAGCTGGTGTGTGCTGCTCACCTGGCCCGATAGGCGCACCTCCCAGAGCCGCAGGCCGGGCCGTGCGCAGAACACCGTCTCGCCGAGGAAACAGGCGCCCAGCCGGCCCGAGCGCGGCTGGGTGCCCACCTGGGCAAACACCTCCATCTGCGAATGGTAGAACGGTCGGTCAGATGGACAGATGGACAGGAAGGCATTGCGTACCGAACCAAAACACAGTAAAGTGCAGTGCACCACGACAAGCTCAAAAGGTATGCCAATACTGGCAAAAACAGAACAAAGAGCGGTTTGCGATAGCCGGATCGAAATATCGTCAGCATACAAAAAAAAATCGTTATTTCGGATCACAAAGGGTCGCGCACTCAGCGTAGCTCCATCGCACCTGCACGTTGCAGAGGTAACAGAAGCCGAGTGTGGAGACGAGCAGGGTCTGTCCACAGAGCACCAGCTCACTCACGGCCGAGTCGAGCTGCAGCATCGGTGTGATGGTGGCCGACGCCGCCGGGCTCTGCGGCACACAGAGGGACTGAGAGTCAGCACAGCGTCTTGTCACAACGTTAGGACCTTAGTAGACGGGACCGTAACTTCATGGGGTCCTAAAAATACGGATCATCAGCAGTAAACCGCGCTATATTAACTTAAGAAACAAAATAGAAATATCTTCTTGAAAGACTAACACCAAACAAGTTCATCACGAGAAGTGCTCAAAGGCATGTAGCCGAGATGTTTGATTGGGCTCTCCAGCCCCGTCAAATATTGTTCTACTGCTGACAGACCGCTATCCACAACACGTCAGTTACCTTTCTCCTGCTGACGGACAGCGAGAGGACCTTCCCGGCGGCGGTGCCGACGTAGAGCAGCCGTCCGGACCAGTGGGCGTGTCGCCAGCAGACGGCGCGCACCTCAGAGTCGAGCCGGGCGAGCGCCGTCAGCTGGCCGGACCAGCTGCGCGCCGTCGGACACGCGTAGACGCTGACCCCGCCCTGTACCGAGCCGGCCGCCACCAGCTGCTCGCCGGGGTCGATGGCAAGGCAGGTGACCGCGCCCGCCTGTCGAACAGTCACCAGACACACATACTGAGGGTCACCGCAGCAAACACACCAGACAGACCGCCACCGGCTGCTCCCCGGGGTCCACAGCAAGACAGGTGACCGCACCCGCCTGACCCACGAATGAGTGCCAGCAGCTGGACAATGGACATGGAACAAGAGCTATTACAAAGTACACATAGTTATCATATGTTGAACGTTAACACCCTAATCGACGCATAACGCATAACTTTTGGCCCGTTGACCTTTGGCTCAGAGACGCACAGCGACGGCAGTAGATGCCTTTTATCCCTGAACGCATTTGTACCTATCTGAACCGGTAGTTGAGCTGGTATCTGAACCGGTGATACCGGTGCCGCTCATTCTGTACACATAGACTGTCCCGCAGTGGCCCGGAGCTAGGCGGCACAGTCTACCCAGACATCCATCGCGCCCGTCACAGCAAGCAAACAGGGATGCTGATTTTAATCAGCGATTCGCCATGCACTCCATGCACTCTAATACTGGCATAGGGAGCTGAGAATGCATTTATCACTTAACTCGGCTGTTGCTGGGGTATTTCGCCACCCACCGTTTGCTGGGGGAGGGGGGGGGGCGTTAAACGCCCCCAGCCGATAACTCGAGAACCAATAGGCGCAGCGAAACGCACGAGGCGGCAAACGAAAGAACGTGACGAGATGCTTCAGATGAGGACTTTAAAGTTGAATTTTGAGGTCACAGGTCGGGTCAAGGTCAGGTGAAACACCTGAAATCGGGCTTTCAGTAACTAGCATGGACTTCAGGACTTCGCAACGGAAGCCTCTCGTCATAAACTCTGTCAAAACGGTGCACAATCCATCTTATAAGGCCTACAAGAGTGTCAGCTCCATGCAGGGGTCATTCAAGCATAGGTCAGGGTCAAGGTCAGGTCAACCGGGTAGGCACATATCCCCGAAAATCAAAACTGATATTTGCAGCCTGTGACACATGTTTTATGGGTAATTTGGGGCGTAGAACACGATGGTAACATTCATTTTAACATATGTGTAAGTGTTTGGCTCAAAAAGTTCAATTTAAGAAATGCATGTATCATGGTCGTGAAGTAGTCACGAGAAAATACCAAGATTCAGTTCAAGATTTTGGAAAATGCGGAACGATTATCAATAATCGAAGATAGCCATTTGATTCTTCATGGTATTGGCAGTCTAATGGCGTTTACGGCATGTCTGTATGTCTATTCTGTGATTTTATTGCCGTTTTTGGTCGAAAACTCAGAAATCATGACGTCACTAAAACCTCGATATCTCAAAAATTTTCATACCGATCTTTTTGAAACTTTGTCACAATAAACTTCAATCAATTCCCTACAGGTAACCAAAATTTGGCGCGCCTGCGGCGCGCCGTTTTTATGCTATGGCCCGGCGAAAAAAAGTAGGGGCGTTTAACGCCCCCCCCCCCAGCAACTCGCGGGTTAATGATTACACAGTTACACACATATGCTCAAACGGACCAGTCTTACCTGCCCCGGGAGAATGCTGACAAACTGTCGTGATTTTCTGTTGAATACGTAGACGCCGCCGGTGTTGGTGCCGATCATGATGAACTGGTTCGATACCGTGAAACATGTGTACTGAAACAGGCGTGCGTTGACACAATCACTCAACTAGAAACCAGGTTGGATGTTTTGACCTCGTGGTTACATAACGGACGACATCGACGACGATATAGAGAGACTTCATAAAAAGGTGATATTACTGGCTGAGGAATTACCTGAATCCTTGTTCTTCCTTTCAGAGGTTGCGACAACCCCTCCAAGGAGATGTCCTCAAATGGCAAGAACGGCTCCTTTTCCATGGTGCTGGTACAAAAATGAGCACTTGCTGGAGTTCTCAGGTTCTTGATCAAGGGAATCTTGCATAAATATTAGTTAGCTAATCCAGTCAAGAATCTGAAGATAAAAACAAGATATTCAAACATGCAGGAATAATGGAGGCAAATCAATAGCTAAACAAATGCTTAACACTGCAGTGACCTGCAGTCTGATAAACTATCTTCTTCAAGCAGGTTATGCTGGTGAGCAGCCAGCATATGATGCATGCAAAGTCAGATTTGTGTTCTTAGGGCAGAAAGTAGCACCAATTAGGCATCTACAGCAAGTTAGTACAATTACTACTAGGATGATGCATTGCTGCCTTTACCTAGATATATGCATAAAAGGCTTAGCAGATACAGACAAAAGTAGTGTGGTTATCATCCTGGAACCAGACTGAGGTTATGGGTGGTGGGCCCTCTGGCAGGCACGACTTGCCAAAAAGTAATAAAATGAAAACATGCCCATTACTTGCATCAAGCTGTTAACATGCTGTGCTGAGTTTTGATGTAATCTTAATTTCAGTTCAATCAAAGTTACACCAAACCATAGCCAATGCTTCACTAGTGCTAGTGCAGCATATTTCCCCTGAACTTCATTGCCTGAACCCAGTGGGACTTGGAACTTGCAACTGGCATAATGCATCAATTTTAATTTAATTCAATCAGTCTAAAACCATTCTTCAGGTGATTCAAAACATAACTAAATAATCACTAGTTTTAATATGTAATATGACTCTGAACTCTGGAGTACTAGGGGGAGCAGGGCTTGTGCCATTGCTTAGAAGATATTCTTTCTTTACAAAACCAAGAATAACTAACAAACTTGTATGCTTCCTATGTTTTCACTCAGGCACTCAGAAAACATAACTATAAGGCAAAAAACAGCTTCCACACCTATGATCAGGCTGAAGTTCATTAACTAAATTGTCCAACCAACTTGGCAGCAACTGCAAAAGACCCAAATTTAAGTTTTGCTAAAAAGCCAACTTTTGCTTTTTAGTGTCACACTGGTATAGCAATTACTTTAATAATAGATCCAATCAAAGGTATGGAGCATTGTGCATCTGAGTGTTATGTAATGATTTCTGATTAACTACTAAATACCCTGCAAACATTTTTCACTTTTGTATAAAAAACTATCACATAGACTTACATTGCGATTGAGATAGGAACTGTACCTGGTACTTGAAGTTAGTGAAAGGTTATCACTAATTAATCACTTATCAGTCTCCCACTCTCATTGCAAGTAAAATAAGAAAAGCTAGACATTTATTAATTAGAAGAGCTAGACATTTTATTTTCTCACAGACAATGACAAAACCAAAACAATAAAAATAAAAAAGACATTTCAGACAATAAAGATTTAAGTACCTTTGACAGTGGCAAATTTTCTGCTGACTATGACATTTTGTTGTCTGAAACATCTGGTTTTATTTGTATTATTTTTGTATTATCACTGTCTGCAAAGTGCAAGGAAGACAAAAATATTCATTGTTCTATAAAGCTCAACCACATTCTCAAAATTGGGGGTGTCACAAAAATGCATCACTTTGTACATCAAGAAGCATTTTGGAGGCCAAATTAATGAGAGGTCTTCAGAGAAGGACCCTAATGAGTCAACGACCCCCCATTCTGTGTCAGATCCTATCTTGAAGAATCAGTAAATATTTACTTTGAAGAGTCTTGGCGAATCCCTTGTCTATAGTCACTACTATGAGTACTATCAACATCAAACGATTTTTCTGTATTCACTTGGATTTTGAAGGCCATTATTAACATAGTTTCAGTAAAGCATGAATTAAAGCCCTAAAACATTAGTAACCTAACCTCAAGCTCGAAAAAGAGTCGAAGTACACAAGATAGCAAAAGCCAGTTGGAAGACGCCAAAAAAAGTAAAACCATGTTTCCAGAACACCAAGCTACAACGACAGGAACGTGAAATCGTTATGTCTGCCATGTGGGTTTATCTTGAAGCGAAATATATTAATAAAACTACCAAAAACGACCCATATTTATACCGAGTCACATGCGCCAATCAAGCGCCAATAATTGTGTAATACCGCGCCGCTAACGTCGCAAATTAGTAGATCAAGGATATCGTAAACTTAAGTCACTATTTCACTGCCATTATTGTATCACTCAGAAACTACGCAAAAAAGACGAATGACAACATTCGAAAATACAGTTTTGTTAGCTCTTTTGAGAAAGTGACCTTAAATAATATTGGTGATCTCAAGGGTCATCTCTTCGCCTGCTGCAGCCATCCTATCGAAAAACTACCGAGCTGATCGAGATGAAACGCCACCAGTGGATTTGCAATGCCAATATGCTAGGTGAACTCGGTGACCTCGAGGCTCGAGGAGTCACTTAAACGTTTTTTTATGACAACCAGCCTATTACTCAGCAACTACTGGGCCGATCGAAACGAAACCGTCACCAATCAATTTTCCATGTGCCATCTCACCGGAAGTTTCAAATATCGGGTGACCTTATGTGACCTCGAGGACTCATTAAACGTTTTCAGCTATCGCAACCATCCTGCAAATAAGCAAATAAAGAACCGATCAAGACACAAGCATTACCATTCGATTCACTGTAGGCATTTATTATTACCACCCTCTTCGAATGTTGACCTCAGGTGACCTTTGGGTGACCTCGAGGGGCTAGCTACCGTTAACGCTTATGAAAACCACTAGCATACCTATAGCTCAGCAACTACAGTAGCAGCCCGATTGAAAAGAAGGTATACACAAATTGATTTGCCGAATGCGATTTAATAAACAATTTCGAAAAGATATGGTTATTTCAGGTTATCTTGGAAACCTCGAGGGGTCAGTTGTAACTTAATTAATCATCCCTCTATAAAGGGGCCGTGGGCTTGATTCATATCACTTAACTTCATGCATAATGTAGGTACCTACGCAATGCCCGACGAGGACTACACTGAAATGACATATAGGATGAAAAGTAGGTAGGTACCTAAATGAAATCAGCTAGGCCAAGATCTTATCAAGGACAGAAATTAAAGCAATACATCGCTACAGCCAGACAGAGACGTTGGCAGGCGGCGGAACACCCTCAATTAAGGGGGGAGGGGCACTGTCGACTTTTGTTCCCATTCTTTCCATGCAACGCCAATAGGGCTGAATGCCAAAATCAAAGGGGGCACGGTGCCCCGGTGCCCTCCCCGTTCCGCCACCTATGGACGTTGGCTGTTCCAAGCTAAGGCCGTTGTATAAAAGAGCCTTCTCTAACACGGCACGGCTAGAGGAGCTCCTTATAAGTTACCCATAGGTGGAACCGTTCCAGGGACAGTGTCTCGAATCGCACGTCCGCTCGACGAGACCTGGTGACCTGACCATATGTGACCTGGGGTTAAAGATTTAACACACGATGCGAAATTGACGTATCATAGGCGATACGGGCGATACCAAGTTTCGCGGAGCTGCGCAACGCGGTCATCCTTACACACGCAAAGAACGGTAGGTGTGGCCAAAAAACGCCCCCCCCCCCCTATCCGGGCGACCGCTAACTACATTCACTTCATTAGCTCGAGACATGATGCGAAGGCGTTTACCCTTTTCTTGACAAACCTAGAGTAGGTATGAGCTTAGTGCAACTTACACGTAGTTTAGAATGCTCATGCTGCTGACAGTGCTAGCGAAAGTGTTACTACTTTTTGTCGGATGTTGAAAGACCGGAGCGCATCCCCATTCCCCCCCCCCCCCTGGTTGAACTTTACCTCCGGCCTAGGCCTAGCTAGAGCACTTTTGAGTTGCGTGGCTACGTCGTGTCTTACCAGGTCGTGCCAAGCTGCATAGGCACGTGCTTGTTTGCCAAACTTTCAGTTTGCCAAACAAACTCCGGTATTGGCCGTGATTATCTAATGTAAGCACGCATTGTATGGCACAGCGAACAAGCCATGGCGAAGCGATTAGCAAGCATAATATAGACGATGCGGGTCATTACGGCGGCCTTGCGAATGAAACGTGGTCGGTTGGCCGCTTAACATGTCATGCTATCTTATTTCGGATTTAAATATCGTGCGCATTACATCTTCAAAAGTTGAACTGAGGACGGGTTCAATGAAACTGTCAAATTGCGAGTATGTCGATGTTTCCCGAGTAGAAAAACATCACTTTCAATTTAAATCAAGGCATGAATGCGAGACAAGATGGTTAGAGCAAAAAACGTCTCATTTGGAAAAAATAAGTAGCTGAAACTCTGCTTGAGGTTCATACTTCATCATGACAATTATAAATGTAAAAATAACCAATAACCTCATAATATAAATCCAAAATAGGAGCCAAAAAAGTTATATTTAAATTGATCGAACACAGATAACAGTAGTACTGGATTGGAAACAGAATATTGGCAGTTGCAGTAAGAGGCCGAATGATTTATGCGACGGCGCCAAAATGGGATTCTCGCGTGCAGCTGAATGGATAATTTGTGTGTTGTGTATTGCAAGAAATCGTCATTTTTGTGTTTTGTCGTTTACATTTAAAATCGAAGCTACCAATGTTACTTTCATTTGCTTAAAAATTAAAGTATTTCACTTTTAATTTGATCATTTAGAGGGCACAATGCGTGGTGTTTTCTTTTGAAAAATTGTGGTGCAAAGCCTTACATATGTATACCTAGGTACATCAACAATGGAGGAGGGGAATGAGCGGTAAAAAAGTGCCGTTCTGGCTACAACCCAACGAACCAAGAGGAACAAGAGATGTCTCACATGCCACCTATTCGCTTCTCTCACCGAAACATCTCTACGGGCTCAGTGGGTTGGCGCCATGGGTCACCGTGACCGGGCTGAGTGGGATCAGGACTATTCCGCTGTGTGAGCTGCATTTCAGAAAGGAAGATTTCGAAGATGATCGGTCATTTCGCACCGGCATGCAGAGACAGCGCCGTCGGCTCAAGAGCGGCGCAGTCCTGTCAGTATTGACCAGCGTGGATTACGCGATGCCCCCTGTGCACGAGCGGCCAGCGAAACCAGCCATGGCATCCGCACGCCACTCACACCAGAAGCAGGTTATGAAGGGCCAGACCGATGCGTTCTTCACGAATGACAATATCAGCTATCAGGTGGCAACTACAACTGGTCGAGTGTCCGACAGTTCCCGGAGAATGAGGCGGTACTCCAAAGTCGAATTAAGCTCCTCAGATGGTGGTCACTGGTCACGTTTCAGCCCCGCCGACGCCTCCGCCCGAATGGCACCATCAGCATCACAGCGAGTGACAGCAGGATGGTGCTCTTGTCATCCAGGAGCTAGTGGCCACGGTGGCGAAATCCACTGAAATGGAGGACCTGGATGACAGCGCCAAGGCCTCCCTGGGACACAGCTCCGGCGCCTTGGCACGCTCGGCCACCAGACGTAACAAGTAACGTTGCCTCCGCCAGCGTGCTGATCTATCATGGGGCTACGCCGCTGGAGGTACGACTGGAGAAAGACGAGGAAGACATCGACCTCACCGTGAGGATCTGCCATATTTGGAGGCAACTGCCGAAGACGGAAGCTAACAGGAACCAGCTGCTGGTCTGCGATCAACCAAAAAGTGACGAAGATAGTCGTAAAACGGGATGTCGAACTGACCGGAAGTCGTTTGCAATCATAGCCACGACGTCCTTAGGAGCCTCCTTTCAGAGATGTATGCGACGGTTTTCAATCTATTTGCTGGAAAGTGTGGAAACATGGCAACTGATAAGTGAGGCAGACACTCAAGACAGTGCTGTCCATCGAAAGTCAGGAAGCAGACACCCCAGCCACTGGTGCAACCCGATCGAGGAGCGACAAGAGGCCAAAGTTCAGCAGGGTCAAGAAGATGTAAGGCGGGGAAGTAAGGTCGCTGATGAAATTGGGAGGGCAGGCGAAGCGAAGTGACACTTGAAGGGGTGTTTTGTGACGTTGGTTTGAATTGTGACGTTTGGATGGCTCGTTGTGACAGGACTGGTGTCGATTAGCATGTAAATAAAGAGAGCAAACTCCCATGTACAAGTGCTTTTTGTGGATGAGAGTGAGGAATCATTATAATCAAATCAGTGGCATACCTACGTTCCCTCACTACGGTGAGGAAAGTGCAGCAACGTTTAGTAAAATAAGTTGCCATTATGCAAAAATGCAACAATAAACACGAGCACTGCTAGATTGCTTCTTTATAAGTTTCATTCACATAAAACAATATTTTTTTTTTGTTGCCTGTGAGAGGAGATATCGAAGCCTGGGCACGAAATATTCGGTTCTGTTTTCGGCCTCTTACTGCAGCCACCGGAATCCTGTTTCCAATCCAGTACTTCTGTTATCTGTGGATCGAATATTTCGCTCCCGAAGCTTCAGGAGCGCCAGGAGCGAAATATTCGATCAATTTAGATATAACTTTTTTGCTCCTATTTCGGATTTGTATTATGAGGTTACTGGTTATTTTTACATCTATAAAAAATAAACTCCTCACAACACTGTCAATTCATGATCAGCCAAAAGCTAATAAATTTCGCCCGATGTCATTGTCCATCTGAAGCTCGGCCGAGTCCATCACTCTCCCGAAATAGTGTTGTCTGTTTGCGGTCGGCGGGCGTTGTCGGCGAGTCGGACGGTGATTGCCTGCGCGCGGCTGACCTTATCGAAACCGACGCTGCGCCGGCCCGCCCAGCCTCCGGCCTCTGGTGGACGGGGCGCGTCCCTGCCTCCAGCCAGTATGCCGAGGGCTGCGCGGGCGGCAGGTGTGGAGGTGCTGGATCCAGTTCAGACGACGGCTGTTGAGGGCAGGGTGGATTGACACTAGTTCGGAAGACGGTGTAGTGGTTAGAGTGGGCGGGATTTGGTACCGGTAACGAGTGTTGAGGTCAGAGCGGACCGGCCTTGTAATCGGAAGCAGGTGCAGTGGCTGAGGTAGGCTGATCCTGATACGGAGCACAAAGGCAGTGGTCTGGGAGGCTCAGTCAAATGATGCTCTAAGTTTCTGAATACGGCGCAGGGTCGTTGTCGTTTGACAGTACCCCTTGTTGCGTCGCGTCCGGTGCAGCGGAGCGTCTGGAGAGCAGCAGTGACTGCCGGGTAGCGCCCGCAGCGCTGTGAGACCGCCGGCCAGCGATGATGGACACCTACGAGACGGTGGTGTGCGTGCTGTCGCTGCTGAACGGCGTGGTGGCCGTCGTCGGCAACACTCTGTTCATCGTGACCTTCTGCCGGCGGCGCGAGCTGCTCAGCCCGATGCACGCCTACCTGGTCTCCATCAGCGCCGCCTCGCTGGTGGTCGGCATCATCGTCCTCACCGGCGTCAGCTACTTCAGCCGACCCTACCACCTGGGCTTCAGCTCGCCGCAGGCCTGCCTCTACCAGTGGGTCAAGTCCTGGATCATCACCGCGGCCTCGGTCAGCATCATCTACTGCCTGCTGGCGGTGGCAGTTGAGCGGTACCGGACGTGTGTGGGCGCGCCGGCGCGCGGCGCCTCTCTGACCAGCACCGTGCTGCTGATCGCGCTCATCTGGGCCGGAGCGCTCACCTACACGGGCGCCACCAAGTACATGACGTTCCAGAGCCTCGAGTCCTTCGCCGTGGTGATCGATAATGGTGACAGCCTGAACGGCAGCGCCCCGGAGGTGGGCCCCGTGCAGCTGAAACTCTGCCACTACTGTCGCAGTTCTGCCGACCGCGTGTGGCGCGCGCACGTCGTCTACTTCTCGCTAGGATACGTGGTGCCACTGGCCGCCATGACCTTCCTATACGCCAGCGTGATCCGGCGCCTGCTCCGCAACCTGCGCCGTGATCGCAACAACAGCACCGAGCGCGCCAAACTGCGCGCCATCCAGGGCATGGTGGTGAACGTGTGCGTGTTCGCCGTCAGCTGGGTGCCGTTCTTCGCCGTGCAAATGCTGGCGCCGCTGCTCACACCGCGAATGACCCCCGGGGGTGGTGCCGAGCTCCTTCCGCCGCGCACCCGGCTCGTACTGGACGCCTTCACGCTGTTCGGCACGGCCAACTCTTGGGTGCACGTGCTCGTCTATCTGCGCTACAGTTCGCAGTTTTCCACGGCAGTCAGAGAAATGGCGGTGGAGGGCGCGCAGACCGCGCGGAGACAGTCCGTGCGCGTGGTGCACCGGTTCCACCGTCGCTCGCGGCAGTCTCGCTCGTCGTCGACGCGTCAGACTCGTCTGAGCGTCGAAACGTCGCACTCGGTGACGGCGGCGGCCGGCTGCCAGCTGTCCGTCATCAGCCAGCCGGGCCACGTCATCGAGTGCGCCGTGCAGGTGTGAATAAACCCGACAACTCTCCGCTACAAGACGGTGGACATTTATCGTGATAAGTTACAGACGTTCGTGAGTCATGTGACCAAGTGATTGACTAACGGTCGCTGGGTACGGGGTCGGCGTTTGTGCCGCTTCTGTCTGTCGGGACCTTGCTTATCTTCTCTGCTAAGTGTAAACACGACGGAGGGAAAGCGGCGAGGACAGACTTACTTCCATCAGCTGTGTGAGATTTCTGCCCGTGGCGATTGACTCGGGATGTTCTCCTGTTTCCAACGTGGCTAAGTAACTATGCAGAAGAAAAACAGTGGGGAACAAAGGCAAATAGAGTAGCGAAATAGAAAATCTGCGAATGTAGGTATGAATAGCGTGTAATATAAATGCACGTCCATATAAATGCTTCCGTGCGCTATAAACGTCTAATTAAATGTGCGCTGCATCACGAACTCCCTTAGCGTCTGAGATGGGAGCCTGAGTCGGTGAGGTGTGGTGCGTTGAAATACTACACAACTATGTTGAAACAGTGTTCGATCTCTGTGTCTTGGGAACCTCGCTAAGCTAGCCGTCCAAAAGGGACGTATGAGCCGCGATACTCGTGTACAGTATGTAAAAGATATTTATGTATAAAGAGGTGTGCCTACCTAATAAACCAGCATTCCATATTTCTTTAAGACACATGCAAAGAAGTTCCCAAATAAGCATGCAAATTATTCCGTGAACATTGCAATTAGGCCCTTGCACCACTCTGCCCAGTCTCACCGACAACGCAATAGATCAACGCATTCGGAACAAAGGCATCGAGGCGACGGAGGTAACCGTTCCGTGCTCCAATCTCCATGCTGGTCTACATTGCCTTAAATCGCCCCAAACTGGCATAAAACACGGTAAATTTCATAACTATATTGTACTTTGGCAGCACCATTTAAAAGTAATGTTAACTAGCGCTAAAGATGGTTCATGATTCTCCGTGGGGTGGGCTGTATACGAGCTTTGGGCTTTGCTTCATAGATGGCGCTAGTGGTGAACGCCTGAAAGCATACTGTGCCGCACGACTCGTTTCAAGAGCATCGGGCGGCGCGGCGTGGGACGGCGCCGGTACGGAGGAGCGTCGGGGAAATCGTATGACTGTGTTTAAAAACGGATTACGAAGTCTTCAGTCTAGTTGAAAATGTGTTAACAATATTGCTCAAAGCTTACATACACGGACAAATGAATTTGGTCACAGCCAGAATGTCATTGCCGAAACCTCGGATATTGGACGAGCCCTTGCAAACCAGATACCGTGTCGACATATCTGATACTGATTTAGATTCGTAAGAGATGGAATGAGCAAAGTCATCAAGTTTAAATTTTTGCACAAACTGATAAGGTTGAGTTTTTCCGGTATAAAATATTGTTTGATTCCTCCGTGAAACGCCATAAGACCAGACTGGTGTTTGATTCATCTGTGATTGAATCGATTGTATTGAATCAAACAAAATTTGTTGAATCAAAAAGGTTTGATTCACCGTCAGGATTGTTTGATTCACAAGCCATGATTGAATCAAACGCATTGGAAATCAGGGTTGATTGAATCAAAAAAAAAATAATGATTCATGAACTTAAAAAATTGAAGTGAACGAACATAGTTCATTATCAACAAATATAAACACCACTGCCATTACATGACAATAAAAAGAGCACAACAAATACAATATTATCCCTGATATTTTTTATATTTTATTTTTTAATTGAATCAAAAAAGAATCATTCAAAAAAAATTGGCTGAATCAAACGTGAATAATTCCTTTTATTGTTTTTTGATTCTCTGAATCAAAAGGAATCGACTCACCATTTTTTTTTGAAGGAATCAAACGGTGATTGAATCAAACAAAAATCAAATGAATCAATGATTGAATCAAACAAAAATCAAATGAATCAATGATTGAATCGATCCAAAAAAGGTGAATCAAAAACCAGTCTGCATAAGACCGCCGCAAGATTTGCTATTGCGGCGCAAGCAACCGTTCTCTTTCCCGTGCACTGCAATATACAACATGCCATGATTGTACTCGTATGCGGCGCGAATTGTGGATGGCTACGACTGCATCTCCGGCCATTTAGCTATATCATGCATCGCACTGCATTGCTTTTTCCTGAAATAAAGCATCAATCACGAATTACCTACGATTACCGAAATTGCCACTCACACGATTATTACTTCTACGATTACCGAAAACATGTTGATGACGTTGAATTAATATTGTTTTCTTAATTGGACATTTTTAAGCTCCCCTTTTTCCTTTCGTCACTAGTTTAGTTACCTCCCGCACCTCAGCTTCTCTTCGACATCCCCCTGATTTAATTGGAAGGCTTACACATGTGACGTACTATGTTCGGCTTGTTTGAGGAGCCTGCCATAGGCTGTGCTATCCATGGTGTCTATCCATAGCTGCGGGTATCCGGTTGCATTTCATTGGCTCATTATTCCGCCGTTTTCCATTGGCTTTGTTAGGTGCCAGCTATACCTTTCTTTGGCTGGCCGGGCAAGCTTCTCCAAACGGATGTAAAAGATAATTGTGATTTCGTCTATCATTTTGTTAGGATGTGCCAGTTTACGGTATTTTTTATCAAATATGATATTAATACAAAATACAACAAATGAATGACGGGAAACGAAAAATGAATAGGTAATTAAAAGTAATAGGAATATTTAGATATTAGGTATGAGATGCCGAACACCGGAAAAAACTGTTAGCGCATGAGCGGGGAATAAAGCGATATTGACAGCTTGACAAGGTCATAGCTTATCGCTGGACATTTGGCGATAGCCTCTGCACACCGGATTATGTCGCATCGCATGACATTTAATATTATACGGTCATCGGAAAAGCTTAAAATATGCCACGCCACGATCACAATAAATGTTGTAATTAAGAAAACATATGCTCGTTTTCTATTCGAAAAATGCAAAAGCGATATCTGAAATCCCTAGTGGCGTTTACGGTATATAGATAAGTATTTAATAGACCTCTTATGAGTTATGCATCGGCGAAAGCACGCCCTGTTCCTCCTTCTTTGGGCCTCTGCCACCAGCCTGGTCGACCCAGGTGGCCTGGGGGAGCGCCCCGTGATGGGCCTGTTTACGGTCATCAGGCTGGCCGAGAGCTATCTGCACGCGTGTCGCCGCCATGTGCCGGCGTGGCACGCGTGGGGCCGGCCGGCCGGCCGCGGCCAATATCGCCGCTGGCCGCGCTGACACGTGTTGACATGGGGCCGGCACACTCATTACGGCCGGCCAGGACAGGCGGCCGCAATCGGGCGGCGGACGTCAGCACACCACGCCTCTAACGTCAGCGCACCACGCCTCTGACCAGCCCTAGGGGACGTGAGCACACCGCGTCTTTAATCCGGGATGTCAGCACACCACGCCTCTTATATCAGCACAGCACGCCTCTAACTAGCCGCGTGGATGTGAGCGCACCACGCCTCTAACGTCAGCGCACCACGCCTCTAACGTCAGCGCACCACGCCTCTAACGTGAGTGCACCACGCCTCTGACCAGTGACCAGCCGCGGACCACGTCTCTAACGTCAGCGCACCACGCCTCTAACGTGAGTACACCACGCCTCTGACCAGTGACCAGCCGCGGACCACGCCTCTAACGTCAGCGCACATGCCTCTAACTAACCCCGGGACGTCAGCGCACCACGCCCCAAACTAGCCCCGCAACGTCAGTCACACCATGCCTCTAGCGTCAGTACACCACACCTCTAACTTCGGGACAACAGCACACCACGCCTGTAGCTGTTTCGTGCATCACGCATCGCGCCGGCGTTCAAAGTGTGTTTCCGAGGTCAGTTTCACAGGCATTCAGCTTTTCTGGTTCTCACGAGGATGTTCGGACTATAGCCGTTCTAGAACTTCAATCATCACACATTTCGTGACGCCACCCGGCACCCATGGCTGAAACTAACAAACTACTTGGAATGCGTTTCATGTAAATGGTGAGGTAAAACGGCGTAGGTTTACATGCGGCAACAGGCACGCCCGTCTACGATATAAATACATGGTCATGAGCGCTACCACATGTGTGTTAGCACAATAGACTTGTGGATGCCATCCATGTCATTGCTGGTGTGATAAGGCGACAATGCTGCTTTGAGAGTAGCTGGCTTGCCTGTCTCGGAGATAAATAAATGAGTCATACGTTACTCATGTGCGCAAGGCTAATACTCGTATCTACTGCACGGTCTCAGTGTGCCGATCGGACCCATGTAGGCATGCTCGTACAATACTTGTAGTTATTAGCTATCCTACCAAATGCACTGCTAAAATTGCCGACTTATTAGGCATGTGATAATATGCAGAGTTATATCGTTAGCTTTAATAAGCAGTGGGATATTTTTAGACTGGCTATTTTCTTATCGTCCTACTTACGAGCCTCCCTGAAATGTCATCTGAAGCGTTGCGAAGCGATGTCATCTCCAATGCGACGTAAAATTACATTTACGCAATATACTGGAACGGCGGATTAATCACGCTCGGTGGGGAAGGCCGTGGCGGCCGGGATGCGGCGTTTGCAGTTCTGCCGAATTGTGCTGCCGTTATCTCCGGCTGAGCCTGTCCAGGCGGTGGGCGGATGACGTCACCACGCTGTGCAGATAAACACTACTGGCCGGACGGACTGTCCGGTGCCCGGTCAGTGCTGGACAGGAGACGCTCTCGGTGAGGCAGGACTATGCGGCACCGCCGGGTCTGGATCGCCGTGGTGCTGACGCTGGGTCACGCCAGCGCAGCATTCGAGTTTGTGGCGACCGCTGAAGACTGCAGAGCGGCCGGCATGCGTTGCGTTGCTCTATCGCAGTGTCCCGCGTACAGAAACAAATCGGCAGGCCGAGGAGGTAGACCTACGGTCTGCGGCTTCCAGGAGAGTGAACCGCTAGTGTGCTGTCCGGTCCCTGAGGTGACGAGACGGAGACCTCAGCCTCCCAACATTACCGAGTCAGAGGTGCGGCCGGAGGGGAGGAACTCCGAATCATTGGACCCGGAACGTGCCACGCCGCCGACGAATCAGAGACACTTCAGGCGTCCGACTGGACCATCCCAGAGGCCAGCCAAGCCGGAGCCCAGCGCCGCTAATCTGCACGGCACGGCGGCGCCCGTCACCCCACCGACGGTTCCGCCCGCCGTGGTGCCCTCGTGCGGCCGACCGGGGGTGCCGTCAGCAGCTGGCTCGGAGTCCGGCGCCGGCGGCTCGCTGGTGTTCGGTGCAGAGAGGCCTTTCGCCGTGCGCGTGCCGCCGGTAGACCTGCACATTCTGGGCGGAAGTGCGGTGCAGCTGGTGGAACCGTTGGAGGGCGGCCCGGCCGGCCACCGCTGGCCGTGGATGGTTCTGTTCGGCCGCTGGACGGGCGACGGGCTGGGCAGCTGGTTCTGCGGCGGCACCCTCATCAGCGACCGACACGTGCTCACGGCCGCCCACTGTTTTAGGAGGGAGATACCCGGGACTGTCGGCGTGCGCATCGGCGACCACGACCTGGGCTCTCCGGATGAGGTGGACCACCAGGAGCGGAACATTTCCAGCGTGGTGATGCACCCGGAGTTTCGCGGCCAGCAGAACGACCTGGCCGTGGTGCGTCTGTCGGAGCCGGTGGCGCGGACCGTGTCCGTGCAGCCCATCTGCCTGCCGGCCGCCGGCGCCGAGCATGTGGGCGCGGACGTCGAGGCCGCCGGCTGGGGAATGCTCGAGTTCGGCGGCGACATTTCCGATATTCTGCAGGAGGTGCCGCTGCACGTGTGGCCGCAGGAGGATTGCGAGGCGGCGCTGCGCGCCAGCCGGGCGTTTGGGGCGCGGTTCCCGGACGGCCTGTTGCCGTCACACCTGTGCGCCGGCAGCCGGGACGACGAGCGACGCGACGCGTGCGCCGGCGACTCGGGAGGCCCGCTGATGGCGCGCGACGCGAGCGGCGCATTCGAGCTGGTGGGCGTCATATCGACCGGCATCGGGTGTGGCACAGAGTTCCCCGGACTCTACACCAAGGTGTCTGCCTTCACCGAGTGGATTGCACAGCAGCTCAGCTAGCACTGTGTGTGTGCGCGCGCGCGTGTGTGTGGCGCACTGAACGTTAGTTTGGTGTGTTCAGCATCAATGTCAATACTCGTATACATTCACTGGAGGTCATTAGGTTCACACTGCATTGCACTTTCGAGAGCAGCTATGAGTCATTCGTCCACCGAGTTTCATCGTCATATTCATGTTTATACCCAATGATGTTATATAATGCATTTATAGCTAACCTATAGTTCATATTTCATGCCAACTGCCCTCGCTCGCACATGTTCGCTCGAGCAGCGCCTGTTGCCCAATTTGAAGAATTGCACAATACGTAATACACATATCATAAAACATAATACCTATTTGAATTATTTTCACCGGGATTATTGAGTCACTTATCAGCAAAATGTTCACGCTATCAGAAGACGCTGCTCCGCTTTCACTTTCCTTCTTCAAGTTGTTTTATTTGACCAGGGCCAATCCGACAGTCGACACAGCTCAGAGCGATTACGATGTCTGGAAAATTTCTTAGCAGTGGGGCGTCATTGTTGTGGGCAGCCCACATTGATCGACGAGTGGCAACACTGTCTACCGCAAACCACACTAGGCCAGCACACCGCGTGGCGGCACCGCCTTACCGAACTAAAAAGCGCTGTCACTGAAACGGCAGCACCGTCTCACCGAAACAACAGCACCGCCTCATTAAAACAGAAACACTGTCTCATCACGTCTCACTAAAACAGAAATACCGTCTCACGTGGTCTCACCTATGTAACGCCATCTCACTAAAACAGCAATAATACTGTCTCGCTAAAACGGTGGCGCCGTCTCGCTTAACCCGGCAGTTGCTGGGGTATTTCGCCACCCACCGTTTGCTGGGGGGGGGGGCGTTAAACGCCCCCAGCCGATAATTCGAGAACCAATAGGCGCAGCGAAACGCACGAGGCGGCAAACGAAAGAACGCGACGAGACGCTTCAGATGAGTACTTTAAAGTTGAATTTTGAGGTCACAGGTCGGGTCAAGGTCAGGTCAAACACCTGAAATCGGGCTTTCAGTAGCATGGATTTCAGGACTTCGCAATGGGCGCCTGTCGTCATAAACTCTGTCAAAACGGTGCACAATCCATCATATAAGGCCTACAAGAGTGCCAGCTCCATGTAGGGGTCAGTCAAGCATAGGTCAGGGTCAATGTCAGATCAACCGGGAAGGCAAATATCCCCGAAAATCAAAACTGATGGCGAAAAAAGTGGGGGCGTTTAACGCCCCCCCCCCCCCCCCAGCAACTCGCGGGTTAACCCTCGCCCGTAAACGGCGATCTGCCACCTTCGCCCATGCAGGGGGGGGGTTGGTGCGACCCCCCCCTTGGCGTTTGAAAACGGAGCGTCATAGAGCTTAGCGGAAAAGACCAACGGATTGCTCTCAACGAGATCTCGCGATTGGTGGTATATTTTTTGGTCCTAGGTCAACATTTGACCTACTTTTGACCGGTCAAAGGTCAAATTTTTCGGAAAAATAGACTTTTTCAACTTTCCGCGGCGATTGCGGCAAAACGGTGGGAGATATCGACTTGAAACCTTCACTATCGTGTTCCTTGATCAATTCTCTATCGTTTGGTATGTATTTCGTTTCCCTAGCTCTAAAAATGGCGCGTTGGGAGCGCCGGAAGTCGGCAAGGTCACAGTCGGCGGCAGAAATTCGAAAAATCAAAATTTAAATTTTTGAAATCTGATTGTATTTTTGGATTTGGGAGGTCTATTTGCTCCCTATAGAAGCTAATATTGCTGCATATTCCCATCGAGGTGACAAGAATTAGCAAAATAGTGGTTCGGGCGCTTTTCAAAAATAGTACCGGACGCTGTTCCTCTTGTGACGTCATAGCTCCGTGACCTGACCTGACCCGGTCAAGTTTCTTATACCATATGATAGCCAATACTTGCCCCAACATGCATGGGAAGTTTCATGACGATCCATCAACCGATGTCCGTACCACCGGCAGGAAACCTCGGGCGTTGGCACTCAGTTTGTGAAAATCCGGCCGGAGGCTGTTCCCTTTGTGACGTCATAACTCCGTGACCTGACATGACCCGGTCAAATTTTTTTTTATCAAAAGATGCGCAAGGTTTGCCCCATAAGGTACCCAAAATTTGGCGGCGCTGCGCGCCGCCGTTTTTGCACTATTTCCGAAAAACCTCAGGGGGGGGGGTTGCACCAACCCCCCCCCTACATGGGCGAGGGTTAAGGACCAGAAGCATCGTCTCACAAAAACAACAGCGCCGTATCACCTATGTAGCGCCGCCTCACTTACGTAGCGCCATCTCAATAAAATGGAAGCACCGTCTTACTAAAACGACAGCACTGTCTCACTTATGTTGCGCCGTCTCACATAAAACGGAAACACCGTCTCACTAAAGCAACAGAGCCGTCTCACTCAAACGACAGTACCGTCCCACTAAAACGGAAGCACCGTCTCACTAAAACGAAAGCTGCATTCCTCTGACTAATAACGACAGTACCGTCCAAATAAAAAAAGCAGCACCGTCTCAAAGCACCGTCTCAAAGAGGTCACAGGTCACAGGTCATTGGGGTCATGGTCACGAAATTTGCATGGTACGTGGAAAATTGTTGAAACTTGAGATCCTGAAAATTTCGTTGCAATCCGTTGCCGCTAACGCGAGTTATAAAGCAAGAACCAACGCTTCGTCTATGAGGCCTCAATCCGCGCCAGCGAGAGTGTTGAACATGGTGCATAATATGTTATATTCACATTTATTGGGGTATTCAGGGATATGAAGTAGCCTAACACCATTCCAGCAACTACTGGCGAATCCAGAAAGGCGGTCTTGGACGTTGCGAGGGGCATCCCCCAAAAGATTCTCCAAATTCTAAAAACGATGTGTCCCAGATGACCCCCATGACCTCGAATTGATCTCTGTGATGACCCCAAGTTGACCTCTGTGACCTGACGTGTCCCAGATGACCTCCGTGACCTCCAATAGAGCTCTGTGATGACCCCAAGTTGACCTCTGTAACCTGACGTGTCCCAGATGACCTCCGTGACCTCCAATAGAGCTCTGTGATGACCCCAAGTTGCCCTCTGTGACCTGACGTGTCCCTTGATGACCCCCATGGCCTCCAATAGAGCTCTGTGATGACCCCAAGTTGACCTCTGTTACCTGAAGTGTCCCAGATGACCTCCGTGACCTCCAATTGAGCTCTCTGATGACTCCAAGCTGACCTCTGTGACCTGATGTGTCCCAGATGACCTCCAATTGAGCTATGTGATGACCCCAAGTTGACCTCTGTAGCCTGACGTGTCACAGATGACCTGCGTGATCTCCAATAGAGCTCTGTGGTGACCCCAAGTTGACCTCTGTGACCTGACGTGTCCCAGATGACCTCCAATTGAGCTCTGTGATGACCCCAAGTTGACCTCTGTAACCTGACGTGTCCCAGATGACCTCCGTGACCTCCAATTGAGCTCTGTGATGACCTCAAGTTGACCTCTGTGACCTGACGTGTCCCATATGACCTCTGTAACCTCTAAGTGACCCCTCTGATGGCTCCAAGCTGACCTATCTGACCTGATGTGCCCCAGATAACCGCCATGACCTTCAATTGAGCTCTGTGATGACCCCAAGTTGACCTCCGTGACCTGAAGTGTCCCAGATGACCTCTGTAACTTCCAATTGTGACCTCAATCTCCAGTTCTACTAACTCTCTGTGACCTCATACTCTCTTAACTCATTTCTTCTAAAGCATCGCTTCTAGATGCCCTATAGCGCCACGAATCTCCTGTGATCGATCCCAAAATTCATGGCAACTCACGTGAGCGTTAGCAACCACAAGTCACCCAGTTGAGACAAAGCTTTAGAATCAGAGAACATGCTTGAACTGGCTGTCTCATAAGCTCGCAAACCAGAAGGGCGATTGTTCCTTTATGCTTGATAGAGTTTTCGACCTTACTGACGCTTACTACGGGATCAGCTGATCGTGTAGCCTTTTAAATTCTCGAGTAAAGCGGGTATTTAAACCTTGTCGCAGCTACGTTCTGTCGTATCCTCCGACAAACCCCTCTTTCCTCAACATCCCTCCTTTTTCGCTACGACACAACTTGCGACGGGACATGTGTCGTAAATTGCGACGTGTCGTAGATGGACTTGCGACGCCCTGGATCCCCCCGGCCTTAGGTAGGTACACCGTCTCACTAAAACAATTACACCGCCTCACTAATAAAACAATTACACCGTCTCACTAAAGCAGAAGCATTGCGTCTCCCTAAAGCGGCAGCACCGTCTCATTAAAACGCACTGGTGGATCCAAGGGACGCGCCGCAGCGCCCGAAATCCACCAAAATTTGCGTTTTTTTCGAGGATTTAACGAAAGCTACACGTTTCTGAGGAAAACTTTGCTTTTAACTGCACAGTAGAGCGCAACGAATCGAAATCCGATGACTTTTTTGGAATTTAGAGAAACCCTTTTTTGGAGGCATATACCCACGCAGCGTGCCCAAGATCGCCTTTCTGGATTCGCCAGTGCTCAAACGACAATACCGGCTCACTACGATGGCGGCAAAGTCTCGATAGGTCTATGTCTCAATGAAACAATTATACATTCTCGCTAAAACGGCAGCAAAGTCTTACTACAACGAGAACACCGTTTCACTAAAACGGGAGCACGTCTGGCTAAAATCGTAGCTACTAGCTCTCACTAAAACTCGTCTCAATAAAACAATTACACCGTCTCACTGCAACGGCAGCTCTGTTTCACTTTGACGGTAGCTCCATTTCACCAAAACAATTGGGTACACTGTCACCGTCTCATCAAAACGACAGCAACGTCTCATTATCACGGAAGCACTGTCTCGGGGAGGACCGTCTCATTAAAACAATTAATTGTTTTACACCGTCTCACTAAAACGGAGCACCGTACCACCTGAAGAAAATACGTCTCACTAAAACGGCAGCACCGTCTCACTAAAACGAAAACACCGTCTCGCTAAAACGGAAGCACCGTCTCACTAAAACGGAAACAGTAACACCGTCTCACTAAAATGGAAACACCGTCTCACTAAAACGGAAACACCGTCTCGCTAAAACGGTAGCACTGTCTCATTAATAAAAAAAACAATTAGGTACAGTACACCGTCTCACTAAAACGGGACAACACCACCTCACTGACACAGTACGTTACCCAATAGTCACTACAAAACGCATAGATAGGTACTGATCTCAGGCAGCTTTTGCCAAATTTTCAGGGAACTCAGATTTGTTTTTCAATAGAAAAACACAATTCTAAAGAATAGTGTTTTAATTATTGACAACAAACCTTCGGTTACTTCGAAGCCACTTTATCGAATTGGTGGAGTCACGGGAGTCGGGAAACATTTGGGCAGTGATCGGTCATCCCCCTCGGCCACGCCCACGGCCCCTCCCCGAAGGTTCCCACGAGACCGCATTTTATATGGAGGCTATGGAAGCGCAAGCAAAGAGAAGAACTTCTGACATTCAACAAACAATTTCGGCGATTTACCCGAATTTACCCAAGATTTACCCCTCCCCCTCCCGTCCCCGGCGGCCGACTGCAGGGGCTGAGTGCAGTCTGCACTGGCTGGACGTTCAGAATCAGGCGCGTAACCACCACTGGGGACACTGGGGACCGGTCCCCAGTAACTTTTGGGTTACTGGGGACCGTCCCCAGTAAAACCGACGACCTCCTGAATTTGATTAAATAGCCAGATATTGTCTCTAAATCGACGTGAAGGGTAATATGTAGTCAACGGAAGACAAAACTAGGGATGTTTTGTTTAGCCCGCGCCCGGGTAAGCCTCTCAGCCTCTCAGCCAACCTCGCCATGGGGGGGGGGCTTTTTGGGCCACACCAGACTAGGTATCCCGGAAAGTAAGCAAGCTAGAAAGACGCGGTAAAAAGCAACAGATAGCTCGCTACAGTATCTTTCATAATTACCTCTCATTTTTTTTTATCTGAGGCCAGTTTTACCAACAGAAAAATAACCGCCTGCCGGAATTTTTTGCCTTGAGGCCACTTCACATACGAAGCGTAAACGGTAAAGCCCTATCCGCTTACGTGCCCATCGGCCATCGCGTTTACTCTCCGTATGTGAAACGGTCTTTAGGCAAAAAATTCCGGCAGGCGGCTATTTTTCTGTTGGTAAAACTGGCCTCAGGTCATCGCTGAGGTCACTGGAGGTCACCAAAGGTAAAATTTTCACAGACTTGTTCCCAATTTTGACAACTTTTCACAAATCGGCGTATAAGTCGGGAACCAATAGAGCTGCAGTGCTGCGGGAAAGCGCATTCGATAGCTCTTTCAAAGGCCTTTCTGAATAATATTATCATTTGACCTAAGGTAAACCGTTCAGCCTCCAGGTTGGCGTTTTTGAGGAAAAGGTTTGTGTATCATAACTTTTGACTCCAAACTTGTATGACGCTGACCTTACCGGCGTCTCGTTTGTCTCGTCGAGACGCGTCGAATGAACTATAAGTTGACCTGAAAAGGTCAATTTGAAAATTTGACCTCAGGTCAAGGTCACGGGAAAAAGGTCATGTTGCATGTCATTCGATTGGTATTGTTGAGCTGAACACATTCATGGTGTTTTCAGCGCTTCTACATATTTATACCTAAAGTTATGGTAAAAAACTGTTGGAGATGTTCATGACCTCGGGGGCATAGAAGGGGTCACAGGTGCAACTTTCCGGTTCAGTATGTCATGTTTACCTGTGCCACGGTGTTTGCATGTGTTTTCGTCCAAAAGAAGGCCATTTCATTATTCTCCCATTGACTTATACCTAATGGAGAGGTCGCAAAATTGACCTGACATTAGGTCACCGATGTGAAAACTTTAAGGTAACGAATTGTTTATACTGATTTCCTCATGCAGAAGCTCGGGTTTTAAACTTCTGGGATGTTAACTGTAGGAATGACAGACACAATTTTTTTTAGAGGCATCTTGACCTGGTGATCTGACCTTAGGTGACCTGGGGTCAAAATTTTCACATGCGATGCGAAATTGAGTATTATAAGCTATGCCAAGTTTCGTGACGGTGCGCGCCGTGGTTTTCCTTACACGCGCAAAAAAAAAAACGTCGGTGCGGCCAAACCCCCCCCCCTCCCCCTATTCGGACGAAGGCTGATCCAGAAATATAGGTAACATTTCGTCCTTGCGGCCCCCCATGTGGTCCCCAGTAACTTCAGACTCGTGGTTACGCGCCTGTTCAGAATCAATAAAAATAGCTCATCTGTATGGTATGAGATGTTCCGGAATTGTTTGCTTTGATGCTGGCTGATATCCCTTTTTTAATCTATTCTTTAGGCGCATCTGCTACTGAGCAGATGCTGAGCACTCTCCTTCGCCCCTTTCTGACAGTTTTTGGACTCTAACCATCACTATCCCCATGTGGAGTCGAGTACAAAATTCGCCAACAAATCAGTCTCTATCTTCGATTCAGAGGGTGGGTTGCGGACCGAGATGCTGGCATGTTGGAATGTTGAAGAAAACATACGAGGTTTTCTTGCAGAATGTGATATATCCCCTCGGATTCGTGCTGTGTGAAAATCAAGTGCATAGGTGTTGAGTTAAATGGATAATTAGGCGTCGAGGATGAACTGTGACACCAAGTTTCGACGCCACTATTGCCGCAGCCGATGGACCGCTTCAGACACCAGCCAGCGTATATGAATAATGAAGAAATAAAATAGAATAAGTGATTTTTAAGTTTCTCAACAGCGAACATTTTGCCTAGCGACATTTGAACTGGTGCTATTTATTTGAGATTCTAGTGAATTAGACAAAATGTCGTACATGATGTCGATGTGTGATGTGATGCCTACCATTTCGGAGGACAATGTTAGTCAGCGCAACTCCTCCTTTGGGGGAGAAGACCCCAATTTTGAGGAATTAATGGTCTCAATGCTAGGGGAGCGCCAAAAGTTAATGGAGAGCAACAGAGATATCCAGGAACGGCTTCATGAAACAGAGACTCGGTTACATGAAGTCGAAGAAGAACGAAACAACTTGCAAAAACAAATAGATGCAAACCTGCCTCAGGTGAGTTCCTTGTTAATGTAATTCCAATATTTTTTAGCTGTGACCAACACTTAATATTTAGCCCAATTATTTTTACTTATTGGGTGAATGCTGCTGATATGATGTCTTACCAGTGTATCATATTGACGTGTTTTTCCCACTGGTGGATCTCCTACAAGTTAGCATATACGACCAAAGCCATTCTAATCCAACACCTACCAAATACCTTTTGTAACATCTCCTAAACACCATATATCTACACCTTGACCTCTGGTGCAAGGTGGCAGAACCAGAAGTCTTTCTAAGTAAAAGTTGGCGCACTTTGTAGGAAATTTGTAAGCAGTTAGAACTAGATATAACCTACACACATTGCTACATAATAATTAAATTCATTAAAATGAGCCTAAAACACTTATAAAACCAACATTTTGTATGCTGAGCTGTAGTTTCAAATTCATTTATGTAGCACCATTCCTCATGTCACATAAATAAAGTTGGCTTCCTATGGAGAGTAAAGTGCCAACATATGAATGCCACTTCAACATGAGTTTTTGTATCAAAGGGCCTGAACATTTCAGTGCACTAACATTTAGTACCCTGTTCAGATGGGTTTTCATAGTGTGATGTGTGTGTTCCATATAAGAGTATGAGTTTTTATTGATTATTAGCCTTAAATTTATCCTGGTCCTGATATCCAACTACCCAATATACTTAAGCTGACTTGCAAGAATGTTCTTGAGATTGGGAAGGCTGCCTTGGGAGGGACAATAGAAGCATTGAATTTAAGGCTTCATTGGCTGCATGCCTCTGCATTTTATTAGATAAATGTATTTAAATTGCCAGGATTTATGAAGCCAAAACCTGGTCAGGCATGACACATTGTAGTTTCTACATGAGTGGACAGTTTGATTTTCCATTACATTTTCTCTTGAGAGACAAAATTCTTAACTTTGGTCCCAGTTCCTAAATTCTAGCTCCCATTGCAGCCGGGACCTACTCAGCTACGATAGCCTGCACGATTCGCCCCGATGTTCAAATTGATGTCACTGCGATGTTGTATTTTTCCTGCAATTGCACTGCCTTCAAATGTACCCCAACAATATGTTATTTACTATGGACTATCAATAATCATATGTGACGATCCTGACTACCTATGAGGACGCCACTATTCTCGAGAACTACCTACTGTCCTGTTCCCCGAGGAGATAAGGTGGCTGCCCTCCTAGCCTAGGTGAGCTCGTGATCCGCGCACGTCTCCGGCTCCATTGTTGGACCGTCTGTTGCCGTCCACGCTGCATCGCATGCTGTATATTGTTGTACCAACTCCTCGCCTCACTATTGCATTTTTACCTTATATCACTAACATGTTCCCTTTTCAGGAGTTTACTTCATTGACGAAAGACCTGAACCAAGCGCGACAGGAAGCGACTGCCCTCACCAAAGAGCTGAACCAGGCCAGGGACCAGATTCTAGAGAAGGAGGAGGAAATCGCCGAACTCAAGGCGGAACGCAACAATACTCGGGTAGGTTGGTGTTTTATTTGATGACGAGCTCCGTGTGGTTTGTTTTCCTGCGCGACACTGGACCGGCCTTTCAGTTTCGTGTGACCTTGGAATTATCGGACGGTCGGTGTCGGTCCAGTGAGGTGGCATCGCCTGACTTCTCACACGCGGATATTTCCTTACATTGCACTGGAAGCCTTAGTTACACTGTATGCCAAGCTAGCTGTCGGGCAGAAGTGTTATTGTATGTATTCCCCCACATTTGAAATATTTGTCGTTGTTTTGTACATGCGGGTGATGTCGGCTCTGTACGTGCATCCCGAATTAAATGAATGCGTCGTTTGACCCAGCTTCGGTGCCCCTCGCGGACAATGCAATGATTGTCCTTGGAATAGCCCATATTTGTGTCTCGCCGTGATCTGCACTCAGTCCGTTTAAATTCGGCGAATGAATTAACATTGGTAAATCGGGCGATGTCCTGGTCCGGAGGTGGTTGCGATTCGTTTTTTTTTTTGCACAAAGTCCTGCCTAGCGGGCACTCTGAGGATTAGCCAGCCACCGAGTCATTCGGACTGACATTCTAGAAAGAATGTCAAAAAAGTAGTTCATGGTAGTTCATGGAAAAGAAAGTAGTCCATGGTAGATGATATCACTTCTTTATCAAATATAATCAAGCCAAATGATCGTTAAACACTAAACAGTTATGACTGTTATAATTAGCTTGAACTGCTTTAATTCTTCATTACCTACGCAGTGGGTAAAGTTTGCTTATTTTGTGCGGTTGCGAACATAATTTACCGTAATATCGAGAAAAGTCGGCTGAATGTTGCGACCTCAGACGGCTTTTAGAACTTTTCGTAAAACGTCCTCTCATCGGTTCAATAGACGAACGTTATGGTTCAATGACCATGCATATTAGTGAGCATACCCCATAGGATGCGTGACTTATTTATCTGAAGCATGCCAAAATTGTCAAATTTACCCGCAGAGCTTGCGAGAACGTCGCAATACTTTGTTTCATGTTGGAACCGAATTTATGGAAGCTTATTTTCCCCGACTCTTGTCAATCATGCCTATCAACATGCTAAAATTTGATTTAGACAAAAATGCTCGTGATGCCATCCGCGTGTGGTCGTTGTAGTAAAGTTCTTCCTGCTAAGTAGACGACATGATTGCCACGTGAAGCCGGGGTGCATTGACAGGTCATCTATAGACACCCTCATCACTGAGTCATACTCAACAGCGGTCTCCCGTTGAACTTTACATTGACTCCAGCAAACGTGCAGCCTCATAATATTCGCCCTGCTGCATCCTTTGTAAACGAACGGGGAAAGGAGAATGAAGTGATCGTTCTTTTCCCATCTGACATATGACGGACCAGCGGAACATCTCATATCGATTATGGTGATGACTGATGGTCGCTGACCCATCCCGTTTTTTAACCTGCGTATATATTGACTTATCTTATTGGTTGACCTGCCCTGTGTGTTTGTCCCGCCTTGTTTGCTCTCCTGTCGTTTTTTGCTGACCTGCCGCGTTTGTTGGCGGTCGGACACTGATCTCGGTGCGCTCTGCCGCTCCTCAGCTGCTACTGGAACACCTCGAGTGTCTGGTGGCGCGGCACGAGAAGTCGCTCAAGATGACGGTGGTCAAGCGGCAGGCGGCTGCCCAGCAGGGCGTCTCCTCAGAGGCCGAGGTGCTCAAGGCGCTCAAGAGCCTGTTCGAGCATCACAAGGCGCTGGACGAGCGCGTGCGCGACCGTCTGCGCGTAGCGCTGGAGAAGAACATGGCGCTCGAGGAGGAGCTCAACAATGCCAGGGAGGAGGTGGGTGTCGCCAGCGCAGCGGCGGGGGTACCGTGGGTGATATGGTACAGTGACTATATAGGACCCAGTCTGTGGCGTTTCCTACAGATTATAAACATCACATTGGCTGATTCATTTGTGCAGAATGAGCGGTTTTGTTTGCAGCTAAAACATGTCAGCATTGCGCAAGATGTTGCGCATTTTGAACGTCTCCCGTGGGCCACGGATGTTGGTAGCTTGCGGTGTGTGTTTTTTTTTCGACAGTCTTCTTATACCTTTTCGCCTACTGATCTCAAGCAGCTTTTGCCAAATTGTCAGGGAACTCAGATTTGTTTTTCAATAGAAAAACACAATTCTAAAGAGTAGTGTTTTAACTATTGACAACAAACCTTCGGTTATTTGTGTATAATCTGTAATCAGGATACCGTTACTCATGATGTTCTCTGTTGCTAGCGCAGTCGTAATAGGCCAGCCTGTTCTACAACACAGCACAGATAATGTCCCAGGATCTGTCCGCTAACTGTGCCCACGCCGTGTCCTCAGCTGAACTGGATGAAGATGGGCAAGCTGGAGGCCAAGCCGGCCGCGTCGGCTGCCGAGGGCTCGGGGGAGGCGGCGCCGGCCGAGGGCACCGCTCCGAACGGCCACTCGACCAGCGGAGCGGCCGCCGCCACCCTCACCAACGGCGCCATCGAGGCCGTCACGGAGGAGACGGCCGCCGAACTCCGCAAAATCATCGAACTCCAGGTGCGGCCGCCACATGCGTATATGCATGCATACCTGCTTACCTGGTTACACGCATCACAGCTTCTAGTTCTACATACTCAACCTACATTCACATATGCATATTGCACACACTATACGCAACAATTTGCTGGCTGTTGAACTCTCCTAAGTGTGGTTGTTTGCCGAAATTTTCCTTGTTGTTGATAGTTCGCCCTTTCCGTCGCCTCGTGTGTTGACGGACCTTGTTGATTGGGCCGTCTAAGCTCTTCGACGCCGTGCTCTGTTAGGACGTGTGACGTCAATCATCGTTGTAGCGTCATGCCTGCTGGGTACGGAGGTGTGAATATGTCATGCCGTGCCTAGTACTGACGAGTGACGTCACACCGTGCTCGGTACTGACGAGTGACGTCATACCGTGCTCGGTACGAATGTGTGACCTCATACCGTGCTCGGTACGGACATTGACGTCTTACTCGGGATGTCCACCCCCGGCGGCGGAACCTCGTCCGGTGGCAGAGCTCTGTTGCTTGTTTTCACGTTTCTGAGAAGTAGTCAGTGGCTGGTCTGGACGAAACCGCGGCCATTCCCCCTGTCGGATGGTCGTGGTGCTCGTTCCTTCGGCCTTCCCGACCCGACCGGAAGACAGCGCCCCCCCCCCCTCCCGGGACCGACCTCGCCCTCCCAGCGACTCATTGGTATCCGGGTCTGGAGGGGAGCATTGGATACATCGGCTGCGGGCTGCCTTGAGTTTTTTTTTTTTACTTATGAATGGAATTTTTGCAAGGTTTAACATGTTTTTGTTTCCTTAAAAGTTTAAGTAGATCAAGGTCATAGGGGAGAGTGGGGAAAGATGCCCAGGGTTTTACTATGTCATATATTATTCGAAAATGACGATCGGAAAGCAAAAACTTGGAGTTTCAACGGAAGGCGACATCATTTTTCTCCAAAAATATCACACTTTTGTGCCTGAAATATGATAACTTTTTTTGCTATTAAGCATTTTCCTGAAGAAGTGAAAGGGGGCGTCTTACCCCACAGGGTGGGAAAGACGCCCCCTGGCGTTGGGTAAGATGCCCCCTGCACTATAAGTGACATAAATGGGCACGTGAATCGCCGGAACGAATCAGTAGTCCCTTCGAGCCTGCAGTAGACACCAAACGTCATCGTAAGGGCCCTCAAAAGTGGTCGTAAGGGGCTTCAGAGGTCATCGCTAGGGCCATCATAGTCCAGCGCGGCCAAACAAGCCTCCGTGGTGGCGTTCGGAGACCACTGTGGGGCCCTTATAGGTCTTCATGATGCTTGAGGGCCCTCGAGCCCATCGTGAGGACCTCAGATGCCAGCGCGGTCCGTGAAGCCAACGTGGGAGCCCTCAAAGGATGTCGTGAGGGGCCCTGGAGCCAATAATGGGGCCCACAGAGGCTGTCGTGAGGGCTCTCAGAGTTAGATGCCGCCCAAAAAGTCGCTGTGTGGGCCGAGAGACCGGCATGGGGAGCACCCGACCGTACTGGACTCTCAATAGTCCCAGATCGGCTTTTGTCTCTCATCACAAGCATGTAATAAATGATTTGACGGGCTGCTTGAAGGACAGCCTACGGATTTTGGGGGGCGTCTTTCCCCATCAGGACAGGGGGCATCTTACCCCAAGGTACCGAAGTAACATTAAATCAGTACAATTTGTTAGCAATAAAACTACACCCTGAAACAAACTGCTTGGGACACAGTACACGCATGTTAATGTATCACGACTATAGCAATGGACGCAAAATTATCTACCTTCTTTGATATTTACAATGTTTTGACACCAAAATATTTTTTGAAAGCAGCAAATAAAAAACATGCATTCACCATCCAGCCGTTGCCCAACTGAGCTTCGCAAATTTTTGTGCAGTTAACAAGGCAGGCTTCCGCTTTACGCTAAGAACATTAATTTCCGGGTTCGATTCTTTGTTTCGCCGCTAGAGGGGGTGGGGCGTCTTTCCCACCCTGGGCCACTCTCCCCTACTTTGGGAAAATTTCAAAAAAAAATCAATCTTGTTATATTAGCATGCATGCTCTGCGATTTGTGACCTGCTCGGCAAGAGATTCTATTGCCGCGGAAAGGGCGCTCCCCGTTTGTATCGCACCCCACGCTGGTGCTAACCTGCCGCTGTATTCCGCCCGTCGTGTGCCCGGAGCCGAACGGGGTCACAGCGTTTGTGGGACGGGCTGTACGCGGTACAGAGCATTGTCCGGGCCATGAGGTGAACCGATGGCCCGCATCACAGGGAAACAACAGGCTGATAATGCATCCACAACAAAAGCTGTGAAAATAACAATAGCAGAATGTAGGCGAGTGAATGTGGATAGAATGCGGGGGGGGGGGGCGAAAAGAGCATTAGCGGGAGGCGTTTGCTGTTACACATCATGCAGACGCTGGTCTGAGTTAACTCAGAACGAATAGTGATGGGCGGGTAGTACGAGCCTCTCAGAGATCTCGGAAGCTGAGTCACGAAGCGAGATGCTGCTAATGGAAGTCCCAGAACTTCCGTAATTGCTAGAAATGGGGTGATATCTTTCAGCACTGTTGTGCTGGTGTGTATTCTCATGAGCCGTACGATTGTTTTCTGCCGTTGGCGTTTTCAAAGGCGAAACCGCAGAACAGCTTTTCTTCACAACCAGCATGGCTGCTAGTCCGTTCAAACTAAAGATGGCAGTGAATGGCGATCTGCGATCAGGGAAAATGACTGTGGCATTCAACATATTGCAGTCGAAGCTAATTCGGAGCGCACCATGCGTGAATTCATGTCTGTTTACGCGTTCGTTCTGTTTTTACGTGTTACTGGTCCGAGCTTTTCCTGTTTGTCGTCAATTTTTCATGCGATTTCACGGAATGATGAATAATGGTGAAAGTATTCGGCGGCAAAAGAAATAAGTGCACGCTAGCTGCAGAGCGCGCTACCCATGACCAGCTCGGCTCCTGGGATGGCCTGTCACCGATCAGGCAGCGAAGGGGGAGGGGTGAGGTCGGCCGGGGCGACGCCGCCCGGCCGACCTCACCCCTCCCCCTCCGCTGCCTGATCGGTGACTCATCGTTGTCACTCGGTCCACTCACAACTGCTGCATTTCATCGCCGTGCTCTGTTTTCACTACCGATAGGCGCAAAATGACCACCGCAGTCGGCGCGCCCTAAAGCCCTAATAAACAAACAAACAAACAGTTTCTACAAAATTCTGAATTGGATCTCTCCCCTCTCCCCATCTCCCTCACCAATGCGGCGCTGTCTGCTTCTTTCCGGTCCTCCTGGATCTGACCCCCGCCGATGACCACGGTAGTCCGGGCGCCCCCCCCCCCCCGGGTCTGACCCCATCTAACCTGCCCCGTCCCCCGGCAGACCTCTGAGATCAGCTCGTCTCAGCGGCGCGTCACAGAGCTGCAGACCCGCGTACAGGAGCTAGAGGATGCCCTGGCCCGCTGCCAGAAGGACCTGCTCAAGGAGAGAGATGTTACCAGCAAACTGCAGCGAGATCTGAAGGAAAACAACGCTCAGAAGCTGGACCAGGTACTGTCGCAGGGAGAGCCCGCGTTGCCTTCGTGGATGAGTTAATTACTGGCTCCAGAATGGTTATACGCCCGAAGAGTCGTTTGGTTTACGAATAAGACAGTGTGATAAGGCACAATGTCTTTATTCTTCCATGCTCTTGATCTCATTCTTTTCGCCTCTATTGCCTTCATAGAGGCAACGTCTTTCATATGCCTTTATTGTCGGCTCTAGAGAGCCAAAAAATCACTTTATTTAACACGCGCAGTGGAAGGGTTGCCAGTACTACGCCCAGTGGAAGGGGGGGGGGCGGATGTCGCCCCCCCCTAAGATCTCAGCTCCCACTGGAGCTAGAAAGACGAAATTTGGGGGGTAGGTGGGGGCCCTGGGGAACTCTGTTGTGTGTGAATTTCATGACCCTAGGTCAATATCTTCAAGGTCAAATGAGGTCAAATGTCAAATCTGCCATATGAGCGACTTTTTTGCGTTTACACGCCGATAACTCAAAAAGTTACCGGCCGATTTTCTTTTTTATTTCACTATACGAAAGACCAAACATTTGTGAGTATGTAAGCTGAATTTCTAGTTAATCCAACAATAAATATGGCAGTTAGAAGCCTGCTAAGGGTAAGATGTCGCCGGCTGAAGCGGGATCGGCCGACGCGGGAAACGCGGCAATCACAATTTTGTGTTTGCACACTCATAACTCAAGTTGTTACCGGCCGATTTTCAAAATTCTTTGACCATATGATTCGCTGTACATTTCTCAGTCTCCTCACCAAATTTGACGCGAATCTAATATAATCAGCGGTAAGGAGCGCGATGTAAAGACGGAACCGTCCCGCCCCGGCACAGTCTACAATTCAGGCGGCGCGTAACGGCTAGCGCCGGCCGCCGCGCCGCCGCGCCGCCGCGGCGGCAGGATGTTTGACTTTACATCGCTCCTACTAGAAAAGTTGTGAACCGATATTCTTATTTCTTACACGAGAAGATCTGCAATTTAATTCTGGGCAGGTAGCCAAAATTTCACATTAATATTTTGTTTGTGGCGCGAGTTATTGGCGAAAAACAGGAGGGGTGGGCGAAATCCGCCCCCCCCCTTCCACTGCGCCTGTTAAGCTAAAGTATGCGTGCGAATTCACGTGTCTATGTGGTTAGTGGTAGGACAGAGCTGACATATGTTGCGTCTGGCGCCGTCCGTCCGCAGGAGGAGCGGATAGCCACCCTGGAGCAGCGCTACCTGAACGCCCAGCGAGAGTCGACCGCGCTGCGGGACAACGGCGAGAAACTCGAAGAGGAGCTCAAGAACAAGGAGGCCCAGCTGAAGCTGCAGAACGAGAAGATTCTGGCCATCCAGGAGAAGCTGGAGCTGACTGAGCAGAAGCTCGCCCAGTACTCGAAACTCCCCGATGTCGAGGAGGAGCTGCGCCGCAGGATGGCCGCCCTCACGCAGGTAAGGGTTGTTATAATACGGACTTATCGGGTAGTGGTCGCTCCCACGCAGGTAAGGCCGGTTCCAAGTTGGACCTGGGCCTGTACGGCTAACCGATAACGGTATGCAGTCCATACATTAGCCCACTCTGCTTCCCCACCCGGTTTATCCCCTCACGCTGAATGCCCCCGAGCTGCTAACGAGTCCCCATAGTCGAGTCCCAGTTTGACCGTAACTGGCTCAGCCGGACAATACTGGGAAATCGCCCTCGCCTCTCACCCACCGGCCGTTTCCGCAGGCTCAGGAGCGTCACGGCTCTGCCGAGGACAGGATCGGCCGGCTCGAATCTCAGTTGGAGGAGAAAAGCAGCGAGGTGATCCGCATGTCCCAGCGGCTGAAAATGAACGAGGAGCACAACGCGCGTCTCTCGGCCACCGTCGACAAACTGCTCTCCGGTGAGAAGGCTGCGGCGACCGCGGCAGTGGTACAGTGTGCATTGATGTTAGGTAGATCGTCGTTTTTTGTTATTGGCTACCTTTTTGATCTGAGTGCTTTTTCAAATTTTGCGTTATCTTTCACTCGGTGGTCGGTGTAGACGTGTGTTGCCACGTTGTGTGTTTTTATGCGTGTGCGGTGTTCCTTTTGCCGTTTGTCGGAATCGAACGTGGGGAGTGAAGGGACAATGGACACGGCGAAACGGTGCAGTGGCGTGGGGTGGTGACCGCGCTCCGGCTCCGACAGAGTCCAACGAGCGTCTACAGCTGCACCTGAAGGAGCGGATGACGGCGCTGGAGGAGAAGAACTCGCTGACGCAGGAGCTCGACCACACCAGGAAGGTGCTCGAGGACATGCAGCTGGAAAAGGTACGGCTCACCGCCCGCCCCGCACGGTCTGCGGATGCACTCGGCTTCAATGGACACCAGTGGACACTGGCGGAGCCGGGACTCCGACGAATGGTTACACTGACCCAGAGAATCGCCGGGCCGCCTCACCCATCCATTACTGCTCCATCCCATATTGTTCCGTTTTATCACGTCCTCTTCGCTCTCCCGACTTGCCCTGTTCCATCTCCCCTAACCCTGCTTTACCCGGCACTTCTCAGTTCTCATCGCACCCATCCCGGCGAATTGGTACTGTCCACCGCGGCCGGGACACGGCACTGTTGACGCAACGTCTTCAGACATACTCAGGAGGTCGACCAATCATTGTGGGTGGACATAATGCATTCGGTCCAATTCCCGAAACCACTCGAACTTAGCTGCGGCTTGTTTGTTACCTTATCGGAAATGAGTCTTTGCTTTTTATTTTCTTTTGTTGGTAAAGTTAATAAGTCCTAATACGAATCTTAGCATGACGTGATATCGAGCTCTTTGAATGTTCCAGCATTTCTTGATTGTTTTTAACGTTTTATTTGACGTGTTATAAATAGGCCTAAGATGCCGTGTATTTTAAGTTTTTGGTGGATTGTGACCGATGCCCTGCTGATCACATTTTCGTTGATGTTTCCTCCATGGTTTTTGTTATAATTAATTTGTCGGCGAGGGACTGTGGGCTGCCAGTGACTATCCCGTCACGTCTTCTCTTTGCGTGTCGTGTTGCGGCTTATGATGGTTATCCTGTCCGGAAGCAAAGGAGAATGGGCTGTCCTGTCTGTGTTGTTGTCTGTGTTCTGTGTGTTGGGGAGCAACTGACAGTGAATTTCGTGGCCGTCACGTCCTGTCTGGATGTGTCGTTACTGATAATCATGGCCTGTCCTGTCCTGCGCTGTTTCTGTGTTGGGCTGTGGCTTATAATTGGTGTATGTTGTCTGGGAGTGATTGGAAGCGTGTAGATATTCTTATGTCCTCTCCTAGTCCCCTTGCCGGCTCTGCGTCGCCATACGTGCCTATGCGACATTTGGCCATATTCTCCATTGATGGAAATGAACATTGAACAGCTTCCGTCATGTAGGAACTGTGTCATGTCTCACCATTGCTCTCCTCATATCCTATCTGCACCTGGAATCGAACCGAATTCGCCACCTTGGCCGCATCCCACCGTATACTGCCATCTGCCACATCATGCGCCGGGGTTACTGGTGTGTGCCTTGTCCTGTCTAGGTATGTCTGTTCTGTCCTGTCCGGGTGTGTGTGGGAGCGGCTGACGGCGCCTGCCCCCAGGCCAGGATGTCAGGCCAGCTGGGCTGTGACTCTGTCCTGTCTTGTCCTGTCTGGGTGTGTCGGGAGCGGCTGGCGGCGGCTGCCCCCAGGCCAGGATGTCGGGCCGGCTGTCCTGTCCTGTTTGTCCTGTCCGGGTGTGCTGGAAGCGGCTGACGGCGGCTGCCCCCAGGCCAGGATGTCGGGCCAGCTGTCCTATCTGTCCCGTCTGTCCTGTCCTGGCTCTCTGTCTCTGTCCTGTCTGGTACTGTCTGGGTGTGTCTGGGAGCGGCTGACGGCGCGTGCCCCCAGGCCAGGATGTCGGGCCGGCTGTCCTATCCCGGCTCTCTGTCTGTCCTGTCCTGTCAATTAATTTGTGGGCGAGGGACTGCTGGCTGCCAGTGACTATCCTGTCCCGTCTTCTCTGTGCGTGTCGTGTAGCGGCTTATGATGGTTATCCTGTCCGGAAGTAAAGAAGAATAGCGTTCCTGCCTGTATTGTTGTCTGTGTTCTGTGTACGTATTGGGGAGCAACTGACAGTGAATTTCGTGGCCGTCATGTCCTGTCTGGATGTGTCGGTGCTGACAAATGACAATCATGGACTGTCCTGTCCTGCGCTGTTTCTGTATTGGGCTGTGGCCCAATACATATAGATATTCTCATGTCCTCTCCTAGTCCCCTTGCCGGCTCTGCGTCGCCATACGTGCCTATGCGACATTAATTGGCCATATTCTCCATTGATGGGAATGAACATTGAACAGCTTCCGTCATGTAGCAACTGTGTCATGTCTCACCATTGCTCTCCTCATATCCTCTCTGCACCTGGAATCGAACCGAATTCGCCACCTTGGCCGCATCCCACCGTATACTGCCATCTGCCACATCATGCGCCGGGGTTACTGGTGTGTGCCTTGTCCTGTCTAGGTATGTCTGTTCTGTCCTGTCCGGGTGTGTGTGGGAGCGGCTGACGGCGCCTGCCCCCAGGCCAGGATGTCAGGCCAGCTGGGCTGTGACTCTGTCCTGTCTTGTCCTTTCTGGGTGTGTCGGGAGCGGCTGGCGGCGGCTGCCCCCAGGCCAGGATGTCGGGCCCGACTGTCCCGTCTGTCCTGTCCTGGCTCTCTGTCTCTGCCTGTCTGTCCTGTCTGGGTGTGCTGGGAGCGGCTGACGGCGGCTGCCCCCAGGCCAGGATGTCGGGCCAGCTGGGCCGGCTGCAGCACGAGGTGGACCAGGTGCAGCGTCAGATGGTAGCGGTGCCGGCCGCCGCGCCGCCCCCTCCGCCTCCTCAGCTCACCCAACAGGCGTTCCTGGTAACCGGCGAGCCGTGAGTAGCCGCGCCAGAGCCGGACGGACTGACTGAGAGAGAGCACCTTGCACCGCATGCGCGCCGCGCCCCGCCGCCCCGCCGTGTGTGCGTGTCTGACCGCGGCTCGCCGGCGGCGGCGCTGCTGCACAGGGCGGACTGCTCCAGGAGATGTCCAAGCTGCACCTGGAGATGGAGGCGCTGAAGCAGCAGCTGCTCACGCAGGAGATCGCCTACAACATCCAGCAGACGGAGGCGCTCACCAGGTGCGCCGTCCGTCCGTCCGGCATTCGGTCCGGGTTGGTCCGGTCCGTGGGTCCGGTCCGGTGGTGGACGTTTAGTGTTGTAGTGCTGGGTGATAGTTGAGCCGGTCAGATACGAGTTAGTGTAAATCGGTACAGATTACGGATTGTCCGTTCTATTGTGGTGGTGGTCTTAGCGTTTGTGGTGGCGGCCCACTTTCGTGTAGTCTCCGCTCGGTGCTACATAAGGGAAGACACTCGTGTAGGTAGTTAACAGTGAGACTGGTAAGCCAAGCAAGACTGCGCAGGGCTGAATTGTACCGAAGTAAGCTCTGATGAGGTTAGTGAACAGCAGCTATCGGTGGGCAATGGGTGCTGACGCTGAGGTAAGTACGGTCACTGGGGACTGATGAAGATATTAGGCTTAGTCACTGATTCAGTCTATAGTTATAGTCACTGAAGTACTGGTAGTCTGGTAAGATGTCGATTTGGTGATTAGTGAGAATCTGGTATAGTCCCTGGAGCGATCAGGTGTGGTCACTGGTTGGATATAGGGTAGGATCCTGTGCGGCAAAGGGCCTTTCGATCTGAAGTCGCCGCCGCCCGATGAGTGTGTATCTTGAAACCTCAGCGCAGTGAGTATCCATCGGCCGGAGTGCCGTTCGCCGGAGGTAAGTTTCCACCTGTCTGTAAGCACCGCGCCGCACCGCACGCTTTGCTGTCGCTCTCACCGTCCGAGCACCATCACCTCTGTGTCTGCCCACCGCCTGGTGCTGTCGGACGACTTTTAACAGAGCAGTTAGACTCTGCCGTCTGCGAGATCTCGCTTAGTCGGTGAGCCTGACCTGACAGAGCACTGTGATTTTCCGAATGTTTCCTTTCTACCGTAACTTATTGCTTTAAAGTTCATATAATGAGGAAAGATGTCATGATCCTTTAAACGTAAATTATTCCTGTATTGAAGTATTGTAAATTCGTCCCCTTTTGACTGTTTTGTCCGTCGCTCTATGAAATAGGGCGCTAAATTCAGGTCTCACCGCAGGAATCTCTCGCCGAGCGGCGGCGAGTCGGGCTTCGTGCGGTCCACCTCCCACACGAGTTTCGACGGCCGCTCGCTGCCGCGCCGCCCCGGCTCCCGGCTGGCGGCCGGCGCCCCGGCGGCCGTCGGGGACCAGCCGGACGGCGGCGGCGACTGGGAGACGGCCGGCGCCTCCTCGGCCGGCGGCGCGGCCGGAGCGGCCGGCTACGAGGAGGACGAGGTCGAGGACGCCGACAGCATCTTCAGCACGCTCTCGCCCACCGGCCAAACAGACGCCCAGACGCTGGCCATTATGCTGCAGGACCAGCTGGACGCCATCAACAACGAAATCAGGTGTGACATGCTGGGCCAGGACAATGAACTGTGCAGTGTATGCTTTGTGTTTCCATGCTTTCCTTAGCGATACTGTTTGTCGCAGATGACAGCAATCAGTATGGGGTCGTCTTAGCTCCCTGTTCCTTTCCCGCCATTCCTTCCTGACACTGAGTGGTTCGACCTGGGCGTCCAGTCTGTCCCTGGCCGTCCACTTGTTACGATATTTTTGTGTCTACCCGGCGTGTAAAGTAGCTTTTCACGTATGTTCATCTGTAAGCCGGCTCAGTGTGTGAGGCTGTATCTCCTGTCTTCCAGGATGATCCAGGAGGAGAAGCAGAACACGGAGATGCGCGCTGAAGAGCTGGAGTCGCGGGTCGGCAGCGTCGACCACCTGAACCTGCTGTCCCGCTCAGGCCGCCTCTCACCGCCCGTTTCCGGACGCTCCACGCCCAAGTCGCAGGCGCTGTCGCCGCAGCGAGCCGAGGCGCTCATGAAGTACCACACGGTGAGTCAGAGCGGTACTGCTGTCTGCCAGTTATCAGGCCCACCGGACACTGCAGCTGGCAGCGCCACTGTAGTGAGTCCCCCATCAGACGGTAGTGGCGTTCTGGGTAATACAGGGTGTCCAGAAAAACGGATACTATTATTTTTTTCTGTAATTCCGAAAGTAAACACCGCACATTTTAAAATGGCACATGCTTGTATTCGCCAAAATATGGCAAAACAGACAGCAGGTGCCACATGGCATGTAAACCCTTTGGTTAGCCGCGGCAGCTCCTCAAAGGAGATACTCAATGTGAGCGGCCTTCCGGTGGATCAGCTCCAGCACTAGCACGGTCTGCAGGTGACTGATGGTCATGTTAACCATCTCGGAGGGCACGCACGCAACTTTCCAACGACGCATTACAGTGCTCGTGAGTTTTGCCAAATCTTGCACTATAGGCACATGAAGTTGGAAAAAATCGGCACGTGCGTTAATGAATGCGACTTAATTTCCGTAATATCTTTTTTCTGGACACCCTGTATATTTCATGGTGGTACAAATATGAATCGTGATGAATTAAATCGGTAACGTGAAACTAAGATAAACTTTTGTCGTCATCTAGGTGAGTGCATTCAACTAATAACGGTGTACTCGACGTATGTGTACCAAATTTTATGCCGTTTTATTGACGGCTATGTGAGGTCAGTGAGCTAGGTGCCATGTGGACGCGTCAAGCGTATGCCGTAACTTGTTTACGTCCTGAATGACACGCTCCGCTCGTCTCTCCGCCAGAAGACTGTGCCGGACGGCAGTCCTCCCGCCATGCGCTCTCAGCGTTTCCAGCCGTTTAACCCTGATGACAACATGAGGTGAGTGATACCGTCTGGCTCTGTCAGTCCCAGTCTGTCGGTCTGGACAGGCCAGCTGGCGGTCCCGGTCAGCTCCTGTACGATAAGCCCGCCGCGGGTGTAGCTGTACCGGGTGTAGTGGTACTAACTGCACCCTCGTGTCGTCCCTGGTCTTAGTGCTGTCGCTGGTCCCGGTGTGAGCTGCTGGTATTTGACTCGTGCTGTGTAGTCTGCGGGGTGTCTTTGGATAACAGACGTGGAACTTTTCTGGGATGGACAAGTTGCACGCTATGCAAACACGTGACTCCAGTATTTTATTCAGTAAACATCGTTTTGAATTGCTCTCTTTCTCTATCAAAAATGTTTTGAAATAAATTCAAACATTTACTTTAGTAACCCGAAACCAACTTCTAGCTTGACATTTCTGAAGCCAATCGATATTTAGCGTACAGCTTGTCCGTTCCCCGGTTACCAGCAATAAGTAGACGTCAGCTAATCACTAGACTTGTTATGATACAACTCCAGTCAATTCAATCAACAATGAATTATTATAAACCGTTGTCAGTCACTGACCTTACTGGTAGATTCACTTGTGAATAATTGTTACATTTATGTAGTCCATACTCATAGTTTGAATCATGTTCTTGAGTAGTGTTTTGTAGTATTGAATTAAATTAACCTAAGATTAACTATTTTCTGCTTCAATGAACAAAACAACTCTAACGCACCACTATTCTGTTCCTTTTTGGTCCGAATTACGTAATTGATGTAACCATTCATTCTTAACGGAGCTGATTCATTCAGCTATTGCATTGCCAAATGGAACTCCAACCGCTTCTCAAGTGTGGACTGAAGACTTGTCAGTGACAGTGATTTTGAATTGTCAGGAGTTGATTGTCATACAAGTCGGGCAATAACATTCATTCGTGTTTGGGCTAGCTTTTGTTTCTCTCTCTCTCTCTCTCTCTCTCTCTCTCTCTCTCTCTCTCTCTCTCTCTCTCTCTCTCTCGCTCTCTCTTTCTCTCTCTTTCTCTCTTTCTCTCTTTCTCTCTTTCTCTCTTTCTCTCTTTCCCTCTTTCTCTCTTTCTCTCTCTCCCTCTCTCTCTTTCTCTCTCCCTATCCCTCTTTCTCTTTCTTTCTCTCTCTCTCTCTCTCTCTCCCTCTCCCTCCCTCTTTCCTCTCTCTCTGTCTCCCTCTATCTCCCTCTCTCTCCCTGTGTGGTTTGTCTGTCGGTCAGTCTGCGCTGCCGGCTGTGCTGTCCCGTCTCTCTGCGTCTCTCCGTGTGTAAAACCCGTGCACGCCTCTGGCTAACCGCTCTCTCGTCTCCTCGTGCCCCCCCCCCCCTACAGCAGCCGCTCTCTGCCGCACAATGCCACCATGCGGGACCCATCGACGATCCCGGGCGGCGGCCGCGGCCTCGGCGCCCTCCATCCGGATCACGCCCAGTTGATCAGGTGCCGTACTGTAATACGTGTCGGTGTTGCTATATGACGACACGTTGTTCCGGCATGCCGACTGCCGTACCGGTTTGGCGTATTGCCGAACTGATACCGCAACGCTGTATCGTAGTTCTTACTGCCGTCTGGGCTTCGTTCGTGCGAAACGGCGGATGACGGGCAAATGAAGTGATTGAATCATTGGGCCTTGTTATTGGGAGCTTAAGGAGCTTGGGTAGCCTGAACTGAATGTGGAGCAGCTGGGGTAGTTGTATGCACATCCTGGAGTAGTATGACCCCCGTTCGGATTCCCTCACCGGTGTGCCTACCCGGTTCCCCGCTCGCCAACTGACGTCGGCGCGGCGTTTTCAGGCAATCGTTCGGCGACAGCTCCCACTCGACACCGTCCTCTGTGTCGTCGACCAACAGCAGCCAAGACTCGCTGCACAAACACGCCGCCGCCAAAAAACGCGGCTTCAAGTCCTCGCTCGGGCGCTTCTTTAGCAAAAAGGAAAAAGTAAGTTGTGGGCTAGGAGTCATGACTCGGACTTTCAACCATTCCATAATTATTGAGACCTGGCTTGTTGTTTCTAGCTTTTGGTACTGCGGAATTGTGTGTTTTTCCGTTTTGAGGTCTTACGATAAAGTTTGGGGAGGGCACCTGATGCGTTCCTTACATCTTCCGTTGGCTATAGCTGATAAGTTGGACGATTTCCTCAAGTTATTTTTGTATGAATATAGCCTTATCACTTTTTACCTCGCCAGCGGTGAGTCAGTGTTAATGTTATATTATATTTTCCGACTCTGCTCTGACCTAACTCCCTCCTCCCCGTGGCAGCGGGCGTTCGACCTGCACCAGAGCCAGGCGGCGGCGGCGGCGGCGCTGGGCCGTCCGACAGACCTCTACTCTCCGGACACGACCGATGGCGGGCTGGACTCGCCCGGTGTCACCGTCTCCACGCCCAAGGCCGACTTCGACCGGCGCACCAAGAAAAAGTCAGTACCGCATGGCGGTGTGGGGAGGGAGGCGTCGACAGAGCTTGGTCGGCCATCTCATCCAGCCCGGATTTGAGTCAGAAGTGTGGTTGAACGAGGATATTGTAGGCGGGCGTCAATAACAACAGTTACTAATGACTTGAGATGCATTTTCCGTACAAATTGCAAATTGATAAAGCAATTAGTGTAATCGCGTAAAGGCCTGGCTACACTAAGCGTTTTCTGCGTGCGTTTTTTGCGTGTTTGCGTGTTTTGCGTAATATCGTGCTAGTAAAAAACGATATTACGTTTTTCTAATGTTTTTTTTTTTTCATATTAAATTTTAGCTAATATAAGAATTGCATTACCTTTTATACATAACTTATGTAAAAGTTTTATTAAATATAGCTTTCTTCTAGAACGACATTACGCAAATCACGCAAACACGCAAAAAACGCACGCAGAAAACGCATAGTGTAGCCAGGCCTTAACGGTGTAATGTGTCCGTCCGTGTAGTGTGTACAGTGTACGGTCGTCGGTCGCCTGTCAGCACTGTCCCTGTGCTGCAGCTGTGTTTTGCCTGTGCTGGGAGTGCGTGCGCTGTGTCTGTACAGCGTACCTGACTGCCAGTGCTGTATCCGTTTCACCTGTGCTGTGGCTGTGTGCTGTGTCTTTGTACATACATACCTATTCTGTTTCTGCCCTGTATCTGACCGCTGCGTCTCCCGGCAGGCACGAGCTGCTGGCCGAGGCCATGAAGGCCGGCACGCCGTTCGCGCTGTGGAACGGCCCCACAGTGGTCGCCTGGCTCGAACTGTGGGTCGGCATGCCCGCCTGGTACGTGGCCGCCTGCCGCGCCAACGTCAAATCGGGTGCCATCATGTCCGCATTGAGCGACACAGAAATCCAGCGCGAGATCGGCATCAGCAACCCGCTGCACCGGCTCAAACTGCGGCTGGCCATCCGAGAGATGGTCAACCTCACCTCGCCGTCGGCGCCAAACAGCTCGCGGCTGATGCACAACTTTGCCGAGATGAACCACGAGTGGATCGGCACCGAGTGGCTGCCCTCGCTGGGCCTGCCACAGTACCGGTGAGTGAGCGAGCATTTCGGTGGAGGCCCACACACAATAGCTGGGCTGTCATTGCTGTAATATAATTGCGGTTTATGGTTTTAGTGAGCAGCTTGATTACACGTCATTAATTCGTATCGTTGCATTGATATTTTCCTCGGAATAAAACGCATTCCCAAAATCATTGCATAATATTGCTAATATAAGTCCACCGTGTGCGCTGGCTCTTGTGTCGATGTGTGAGTGGCCGGACATTGTGTGCCTCGACAGTAGTCGACACTCGTGTGACTGATTGATTGAACCGTCGTCCGTCAATTGTCCGCAGTACGTCCTTCATGGAGTGTCTGGTGGACGCCCGCATGCTGGAGCACCTGTTGCACCTCAACAAGAAGGACCTGCGCGGCTACCTAAAACTCGTCGACGCGTCGCACAGGTTAGGCGACAGCTCCGTGGCTTATACCCGTGGTGGCCTTAAATATGACTGCAAGGGGCGGTCTCGCTATGATTTGAGATATATTTATCCACGCTATCCTATTGATTTCGCTCTGACCTTACGGTCATGCTCGTCGTTTTCAGGAATAGCCTGCACTTTGGCATCCAGTGTCTGAAGCGGGTCGACTACGACCGCGCCGAGCTGGAGCGGCGGCGGCGCGCCTGCGAGTCAGACCCCGTCGACGTGTTCGTGTGGACCAACGAGCGCGTCATCCAGTGGGTGGTCAGCATCGGCCTCAAGGAGTACACCGGCCACCTGGCCGAGTCGGGCCTGCACGGCGCACTCATCGCCCTCGACGACAACTTTGACCACAACTCGCTGGCGCTGGCGCTGCAGATCCCCACGGCCAACCAGCAGGTGCGTGCGCCGTCGTGCGCTACAGGACGACACCAGGCCGGGTCTTATTGGGTCTGGATCGTCTAATTGCCGTCCGTAGCTTTAGCTTGACATGTTTTTTCTTAATCATATCATTTGGTCTTCCTAGTCACCTGCCGGTTTGCTTATGATCTAATTTAGTGGTATTATTTTCATGGCCCATGCCTTGCTAAGTGTCTTTGTCAATGTGACTGATAACACAAGGCCTTGCTTGGCCCTAGCATTGACATTTTCCTCTGTGTTTGCAGGCGCACCAGATTTTGCGGCAGGAGTTTAGTCGGCTGCTGATGAGCGGCACACACCGACAAGTGGACACAGAGGCGAAGTCGTGAACGTGACCCGGGCGCGGCGCGGCCGTCTCACTCTGCCCGGCTGTATTGTGTTGTGTTGATTAGTCCGGTGCTGTACTAGCTGTTGTGGCGTCTTTCCTCGTATTGCCCTCTCTCTCTCCTGCCTCCGACCTCCTCCCGTTTCTAGCTCCCTCTCCCTAAACATCTCTCTGATCTCTCTGCCCCCCCCCCCCTCTCTCGCTCTGTTCTCTGCCCCGAGTCTCCGCCCGTTGTCCACCTAGCTCAGTCTCAGTCGCTGTGTCCGTGCACACTGGGGCGGGCGCGCGCGCTGGCGGCCCGCTCACCTCTCGGGCGCCGCCCCTGGCCCGGTCTTCCTGGCCGTAGCCGGCCGCCCCCGCGTACCAGCTTTGGCCATATCAGTTGAAACCGGCGCCGGCACACGCCGTCTAGGAACCCGTCTGGCCGGCGCCGAGTCCAGCCCGCTCGCGCTGAGTGCACTGCCTGTACATAGCCGCCTGCCCGCTGCGCCGCCGCACAGCCTCAATTGCATCGCCTCGGTCGCATTTGTTAGCTTAGTCCAGTACAAACGGTGACTATGTTGTCTCGCTGGCGCCGCGCCGCCCCGCCCGGCCGGTACGGGGCCAGCCGTGCCGCCGCACCTAGTCAGGCCAGGTCACAGTGTCTAGTCAGCCGGGGCCGCCCGCCCGGCCCTCGATGGGTGCCACACGCGCAGTCGCGCACCTGCGCGCGCGCGCGCGCGAACGCTGATTCTGTTTTGTATGGTTCTGTATCTCGGCACTGTGTGCGTATGCGTGTGTCCGGTCGCGGCGCACCGCGCGGCTCGGAGCCCGGAGTCGGGCAGGCCGGGACCGCCGCCGCCGCCGGCGCTTATGTTGCGTCTCATGTTGCGTCTCAATGTTATTATACCTCTGTTTGACAGTATTATGGCGGCGGTGACGCGCGCGGCGGGCGGGCGCGCCGGCCCGGCCCGTCTGATGGCCCGCCCGTAGCGTCGCGCTGTTGAATGGTTTGCGTGGGTGTGTATCGATGCGTACGTGAACGAGCCTCCCTTCCTTTACGCATCCCATCGTTCTCCCTACGACGGCCTGGCAGCCGGCCGCATATATTGTATGTTTCTCTACACTCGATACGTTTTACTGGAGCATTAATAATATATCGCTGCCAACAGTCTGTTTTGTGTTCATGGACTTCAAAGAATGATCGAATTTACGATACGATATTGCTGATGCCTTCTTGATCATACTGTGATTGAAGCTTTCTCCAGGTGGTCGGGCTTCACTCAAGGGTCGCAACTCGCAACCGATTTGACCTAGCTGAGGCTGTTCAGCTATGATTTTTTTTTAGCAACAATTTTATGAATTGCTCCATAATGTCTGTTTGCTTTTTGTTCCATAATTTATCTTGCGTGCCGACAGGGAGCTCAAGATGCTGAATGGGTTACAGTGACGCATTGACCCGAGAGGGTGAAGGTTTCCGCTAGTTTCCCTTCACATATGGCAGCATTAATCTGTACGTGCTGCCGGAAGCGAAACTGAATAGTTGCTGAATTTCGCAAAGCAGGCTTTATGACTTGAGCTTGATTTTCATGTTATTTATTTTTATTTGGATTCATCGCTGGTCGGCCTGGTCCACAATTTTCCTAAAATAAAACTTCAAAAAGATAACCAGGTGCGCTATTTTCAGTATCTACTCTGGTAACTGGTAAGTCATTTGCAATTCAAAAGAATGCTGGGTATTAGTTGATGATGGAAGATCAACACAATTTCAATTTTCATGCTTCAGCTTTTACAAAACATTAGGTAGGGACTTTGAAGTTGAAAAATTAGATGAATATGCTTATCAAAGTTACCTGGGTGGCAGCATTCATGGGATTTAGTGCAAGAGCTCTTTGCATAGGCAGTGGAACGGGGGTGGCACCGGGGCACTGCGCGGGGTGCCCCCTTTGATTTTAGCATTTTAACATTAGCCCTATGGGCGTTGTATGGAAAGAATGGGACCAAAAGTTGGCAGTGCCCCCCCTTAATTGAAGGTGTTCTGCTGTTACTGGCTCTTTGAGAAATGAGAAGTTAATTGCTTGATGCTTCTGCCGTCCAAGACTCCAAAGGCAAAAACGCATATGTCGGGTCAGGTCATGACCAGACATATGCGTTTTTGCCTTTGGACGGCAGGCTTGTGCTGTGGTTGCACTCTGACTCTGACATGCTGTGTCAGTATTGGAATGCAAGGATAACAGGACCTGGCTGTTGGACCATTAATTCATGAAAAGGAGTCAACCATTGTTGTGTCTACTTTCATGTATTAGTGACAGTGATACTTATTGATAAATCTGTGCTTCTTTAGACTGTCATAGTTGTTCATTCCTTTTGTTTGTGCATACTGTGGTTAGTGAATAAAAAACATTAAATTTATTAAGAAGAGCACTGGGCATGCAATGATTTGAGTTTCATGTCTGGTTCTAGAGCTAAGCCTAATCATAATATAAATGAATTCTAAAGACTTGTGACTATTTTTTCTTTATGCAGCTGTGAAAGAATCATTTCTAAGATGTTGATTTTTATTTGTCAGCCACCTGAACCCTAGTGAGAGCTATTTTATTATATCTAAGATACTCTCAGGGGGCAGTTGTAGGCCAGCAAGTAGGTACATTTGAGCAAGAGCACACACCTTGACTTTGGTGTTTAAAACTGACAAGTTCCTTCTACATTGGTTGATCAGAACTTGCAAGTTCCTTCTAAGTTGTCTCCTATTACTATGATCAGGCTGATCAAGTGCAACAATTCCCTCTGCCATAAAATGACATTAGATTCCTGCATTAAAGATTTATGGTTTTAGGCCAATTAATGGGTCATATTGTGGTAGTTATAATGAATGAGTAGGTGTCACAATAAGTTGATATTTTCACAGTACCTTGTGCTGTGGTTTGTGTTCACTTATGATTGATCTGTTTACAATACTTGGTCTAAGCAGGGTTGGCATTTTTGCCGGCAAAAACTAGTTTATGCCATTTGCCGGTTTAAACCGGTTTTAACCGGCAAAAAGTGGCAAAAACTGGCAAAAACTAAGAAATATCACAATCATGCTATGCTTGGACATGAATTTGAACATGAAGCATTTTAAGGAGAATTCGGTGAAAGCTTTATGCTTTCAAACAGAAGTGACATTGACCATTGAAATGCTTCATAACTCAAACATTTTCATGGGCTTTCCATAAGGAGCTAGTAAGATGCCTTTTGGGGTGACAAATGAGCCAGTGCAAGGGTGACTGGGTGTCGGGTGAGTCCTGCACAATCAGAAGTACGAAGGGGCATCTGCCACTGATATGCGCACGGCACCGCATGGCACCTTACTTACCGTGGCTGTCTTGCCCCACTCTCCCCTACATGGAAATACGTTCCGTTGTGGATGTCTACCGACATGCATAGACATTTTAAGCAGGGATAAGTAATGAGGCAGCTTTAGAATGTTTAGTGCATCTATATAACTACCAGAAATGCATTTGTTCATTTCAAATCCATTCCTAACTAGAAAAGTTGTAGGTTTGGCCATCTGAGTTTTAGCCAGTTTTTGCCAGTTCTTGCCACCAGGGTTTCTGCCAGCCGGTTTAAACCGGTTAAAACCACTGGCAAAAACCAGTTTTTGCCACCCCCTGCCAACCCTGCCATTAGACAATTACAAAGGCTAAACATTGCATGATGAAGTGCAAGAGATCTATCCAAAGATTAAGTTTCCAACCAGATAAGGTCATGTGATTCTGGTTCAGTGACCTTAAATGACCTACAATGACTAACAAATATTGGTGGAGCTAATTCATCTAATACTTACTTCAAATTACACAAAAACTACATAAATATGAATGCCACTTGCTTTCAAGTACCCATAGGGATGCCTTTTATCATATATGTTCTGATGTGATCTTAACCTCAACCTGTACTTATATGTGACATGAATCTCAGTGAGTGAGACAGGGCCAGGCACTGTACAGACTGCCCATTCCTAGACTTCTGTGTGTATTTGTGAACTTTCTGATCCTGCTTTTACTAAATTAAGCTGCTTTTTGTATCAAAATTTTATTCAATCACTCAGGAATAAAGTTCTGCGAACCTGAGGCTTACTTATGCCTCAGTCCTAACCCAGGCTTGTTGATAAATAATGTACTGTCGTTCTGTTCCTGGGACAGCATCCATGCATCACACAGCCAGATGTGTCTTGTATCACAGTTTTGTCTCCTGTCTGTGTGTTCCCAGGACAGCAGCCATGTCTCACAGCCACACGTGCAACTGTCTGAACGTGCGTCTGGACGTGTGGCAGCTGCTGGCGGAGCCGCCGGCCGACCTGCCGGGCCCGGTGCGCGCCGAGCCGCTGGTGGCCGCCGGCTGCCTGTGGGCCGTGCTCGGCCCCGACCGGGTGGCCGTCGAGCAGACGGCCCTACTGCGCCGCCAGCCGGTGTCCGGCGCCGACGGCTGGTCCGTCTGCCGCTGCCTCAACTGCGGCTGCGTCACACACGCCGTCTCGGAGAGCGCCGGCTCCCCGGCGGCCGTCAGCCGCTTCCTGCTCTCGGAGCCGTCCCGGATCGCCGCGCTGCAGCACAGCGACCGCTTCTCGCCCGCCTTTCGGATCGTGCTGCCGCAGCTGACCGAGACGCTGGAGCGCTCGCTGGCGCCGCCGGCCAGTCCGCGCTCCCATCCGGCTCTCACGGCCGCCCTGCGACACATGAAGCTCAACGTCAGCGCGTGAGTACGACTCCAGCCCGCACAAACTCGGGTTCGGGCTCAGAATTGCCCGGTGACATTTTTGATAGTGTATAGAGCAGCGACATAACTTCAATATACTGGCGAATTTAGCCGACGTTCTGCATTCTCATTCCAGATATGTTAAACGGGAGGAGGTGCGAGTAGAAACAGCCATCCAGAACTTCCGAGAGGAGAAACTGGCGGAGCTGAAGGAGGCCAAACAGAGAGCCCACGAAGACTCACAGGCGTTCACAAGGTAACACTCTTGTTCCCGGTGTCATATGAATGCTTGTGACCTCTGAATATCTGACGGCTTCATTGTATCTTAGGATGTTCATTTGCTAGCTTGGCTACTTTAAAACCTTTAAGTGAAATTTTCAGACTGTTTCATCACCTTTCCTCTCATTACCATTTTTGTCTGTAATATAAGATTCCCCACAGCGATATAGCTGCCATTGGGGCCAAGCAGCTGGGGATACATGGGGTGAAGAATTAAAGAAATGAATATCGTTATTCGAGGAGTGCCAGGGCGCTTAGAATTTATCTGGCCGTTGGGCAGGTACTGTATGGATGAGTCGTACTCGTCCTGGCCCGTAACTGAAACATGGAGCTTCTGTGGGTGGGGGACGGGGCTGTTTACCGTTCCGTAAGTATGGGTAGGTACCGTTCTGAGGCGTCGTGGGAGGGGACGTAACTTACTAGCTCAGTCGACTAAATTGGGGAGCAGCTGTGCCTACCTGGTTGTCTTGGGTACCGTGCGGAGGGGCCGTACCGACTGGGTGATGTATGGGGGGGGGCACCCTCCTGAGGACGGTGTGGAGGGGCCGTACCGACCGGCTGGGTACCGCTGCTGCCGGCAGTCTGCTGCTGCGGGTGGAGGACCAGCTGTGTGTGACGCCCGAGTCGACCGGCAGTGGCGCACTCTCCTCTGTGGAGTCGGAGCGGCGCGACACGGTGGCCCCGCTGCGCAGTGAGGTGAGCTGCGCGGGGAGCCGGGGCCCCTGAGTGCACTGCAGGTGATCACAATGTTACTGAAGGCCTAAACTGCAGCCGCGCGGGTCTCCAGCCGGATACTAACCTAGCATATCCCTGACCCCGACCACACATACCAGTGATCAATAATGAACTTTAGGCCAGCGTCCGGTTTCAAAGTTATTTGTCAAAGTTACGTGTATCGCCGTCATTGGCCTCTCACACTATGCTTTAAACTACTGCTGATCGTGTTTGGCTATTGTTAAACCTCATAAGGTCAGGCTTGAATAAACTTCAGCTCGGACTTCAGCTCAAGATATTGTCTTCGCTGACCCGACTGTCTCTGTGTGTGCCGGCAGCGTCGACCGTCGGGAGTTCCGTCCCAGGGCCTGGTCGGTGTCTTCCTGATGGACGGAGAGGATGACGTGGAGGTGGCCGAGGAGGCCGAGGAACAGTACCCCCAGGTGGGCTCCACCGTCGACCGACAGGTACTTTTAGTTTGGTTTTCAGTCGAAAAAGGTGGAAGGTATTTTATGTTGGAGTACCGGCAGATGGTAACGTGCTCTTCGCGTCATTTTCAGGGGCATTCGCGTTATAAATTACAGTGCGTGATTCATGAAAATTGGCCCAGTAATTAACATCTCCGCGTTCAACGATACAAACCTTTAAACGAGTTTTTTTCTGAGACTGAATGATGGAATAATTGTTACGATGCCATTTTTACGTGATATATGCTGTTTCGGTTCAAACTCACCTCAATCCTAGGCAGTGTCAGGCTTCTGAGTTGTTCATTTCTTTGGCCGAGGCCGGTCCATATTGTAAGATCAATTGCTGCTTATAAGATTTGCTGTGGAATGTCTAGGTTCTTAATTGTACGCTCGAGTCGTGCCACTGTTTTTTTTTACCTCATGACTTTGAGCTGAGCGCCAGGTTGTTCGCTGTATATCCGAGTCGTTTCGATGGTCGTAAGTTCACCCCGTGCCGTGCCCTACTCGTGCTGATGGCTGATCTCCGGCGTCGTCCCGACAGGATTACGAGGAGCCGGACACGGACGACTCTGGTGTGGAGGAGCCGCGTCCGCTGCCGGTACCCACCAACCGAGCCGCTCATATGGCCGACGTGGCGCACTCGCTGCCCGTGCACATCCCGGTACCGGCCGAGCTGATGGCTGCTGGTGAGTGACTCCCTCACAGGCATACATACAGCCCCCCCCCCCCCCACTCGCTGCCCGTACACATACCCGTGCCAGCCGAGCTGATGGCTGCTGGTGAGTGACCCTCCCCCTGCACAAACACAGTCCCCCCTCCCCATATCCCCGTGCCGGCCGAGCTGATGGCTGCTGGTGAGTTAGACGCAACCACCCCCACACACAGACATATGTACACACAGCCCTCACACACATCCCAGCTATCTCGCACTCGCTGCCCATGCACATCCCCGTGCCGGCCCAGCTGATGGCTGCTGGTGAGTGACCCTCCCCCACGCACAAACACAGTCCCCCACCGCCCCCTCCCCATATCCCGGTGCCGGCCGAGCTGATGGTTGCTGGTTAGTGTGACCTATGGCAGATCTTCTCCTCGTCCATGTGCGCCGACGCAGTGCAGGTCATCGCTAGCCCGTTCGTACGTGCGTAATTGTTTGTCCCTTATGCTGCGATTTGTCTCTTTGTATGCGGGTGGATGTCGCGGAATAACCTAAGCCAATATCCTAAAAATATAATCCAACAATGTACATTGCCCCTATTTGTGTCCAAAAAGTGGTTTGTTCCTCGTGCGTGGATGCGTGTTATGTTAGCATGTTAGCACTCCTGTAAGCTATGTTAGCACTCCTGTCTCCTGTAAGTACACTCGATGACAATCCGGTATCGGGCTGACAACCCTGCCCGGGCCGGACAGGTCGTCAGCGGCCGTACCAGCCGGAGGAGGAGGCGGTGCCGGATATCGACCAGATGGCCGACTCGATCCGTCAGTTGGCGCAGAGCCTGCACACGGAGCCGGGCATGTTCGCCGACCTGCCGCGGCCGCGCACCAACACCATGAACCGATGAGCGCCGGCCAGACGTCCGACGGGCCGCCGGACGGCTCTGCTGGACCGCTCGAATGGCTCCGCCGGGCTGCTCGATCGGCCCTGTTAGCCGCTCGAACGGCCCTGTTAGCCGCTTGAACGGCCCTGCTAGCCGCTCGAACGACCGGTGGGTCCCCCGGACGGCTCTGCTGGCCACCGCAGACAGAGTGCGCCATCAGAAGCCGCCGGTGCAGAGACCTCAGTGGTGTGGTGCGCGGCCGTGAAAACTGTGACATAAGGGTAAATTTTCATTGGCGGGTTGCCTTTGGCATTGGGATCAGTAGTCCGTATTCAGCGAGGGGCTTGTGCTATTGCGCTCACAAGTCAATGTCATGGTGCGGTTGATGAGATACGCGAGACGCTTACGCCCTGTACCGAACCGTCAAAGGATATACCGCCAGATCGGTTTGGTCTGTTAGGTCGACCGCAATCGCCTTTTATTGTATTGTCCTTTTCGCAGTTACCTCTGAGCCCAGGTCTGAAAGTTTTGGTTTTCACTCTGGCAGTCCTTTTGAAGCAGCTCTTGTTCTTTAGGATTAACTCGCGATGATCTGATCATTTCACATCATGATTTTTGTATTGATTACGTGCAGGATGGAACGGCTATTACCTTTGAGGTTATTGGTTGCAATATTATTTGAATTTTAACCATATAGTCAAATGTTGGGTGGGACTGGTTATAGGCAATCATTCACTGTTAATGAAGTAATTGGTCATGTTCAGGAGCAGTCTTTCTAGCTTTTCAGAGATATATACAGGTCAGCATACAGTGTACCATTATCAGTCAAAGTATCACCACGTTTATCAGCAGCGGGATGGTTTTCTTAGGTCGTGCGTCGGCCGCCAGCCACCTCTTGCCATGAAGCAGCGTTCGCGGGTGGTTCTGCCACCGCGACACACAGAATATACACAGGGCGGCGTCTGATAGTTAGACGCCGCTCTCCGGTTAACGTTTGGCTGTGCTTGGCGACGCGGTTCGTCATGTTACTCGTGGGGCAGCGGACGGGTGGGGCGCGCAGCGGACGGGATAGGGCGCCTGCCGTCCAGCGCCGACCCTGGGACGGAGTGGTGGGTTCTGTCTGCTCGTCTGCCCCGCGGTGTCTGTGTGTGTGAGCTGCTGCGCGCTGTTCTGCGGACGTGTAGCTGTGATAGTCGGCAGGAGCGTCCACCAGCGCAGCCCCTGTGCTTCAGCCCGCCGCCCGGCCCGACCGCTATTCACTAATACATGGCTGCAGCGTGATGTCGTGAATGTTCTCTGAAAGGCGAACAGACACCTCGCAACGATACGCGAATCTGCGCTCGGAACATCCTGGTGATTTGATTGTTAAAAAGAAATGACCCTATTGCAAAATGCAACACAGTCGAGCTGATAGCAAATCGAGATTTCGGAAGTCGTGATTGGTGACCTGAATCACGCTCGATGATAAGTTTTTATCACAAACTTGACCTTTGTGGCATCTACTTCACGGTTATATAACTGACCTATATACAGTCACTTCCCACTTCTTAGGTTGAACATGTCGAATTGCGGATATATTTGGGAAATAAGCTAAACGTCATCGATAAACCGAACTCAAAGTAACAATCTGTTTATTCATATTCCTTGGACAAATTTGACTATTTCATATGCACCATAAAACATCGACACCTTATCCACCTTATCAGAAATGGCTGTCCACGTTTTCGAACAGAATGCCAACATTACAGCGAAAACATGTCACACAGAACACATTGAGGTTCACACCAGCTCGACATTGGCTCGCGGCGCCGCACTACGTGATTAGACATTCATCGCCGTCGGGTATATAAACGACACACACCGGCCGCCGCGGCCACACACAATCGGCCGAGCCGCCAGCAACATTCGCGCGACAATATGGGACTAACTGGACACACAGAACATGGGTACATGACGTCAATCTCGTCCGGCGGCGCTGCGGCTCCGCGCGCGGTCCCACACCCAGCGACTAGACACCCGCTCCACCGCGCCGCTCAGTCCGCCTTTTTGTCGGCGTCCGACTTGGGCGGCGCAGCGGCCACCGCCGGCTGCTCGGCCGTCTGCTGATCGGCGGCGGCCGGCGCACCGGTCTGCTTCCGCTCCAGCATCTCCTGCGAGAAGCCGAACTCGTTGACCCGGCTCGGGTCGACGCGGTAGATGTAGCGCTGGTACAGGAATATGAAGAAGACGACGTCTGTGGAGCGGGGACACGGAGTCAGCGAGAGTCCAGTCACCGCGCGGGCACAGCGAAGTCAAAGATACAGATTTCGGACTACCGTTGCACACATTCAGTGTTAGAGTGGGGCGCGAGACAACCAACCGAACAACTAATGCATATCATGTATCGTTAGTCGTTACTGATCAGCGAACACCTAATCCATTAACTTATTCGGACAACCGAACCAATCCATCGACTTACCGTCCGTCAAACAACCAATCGAATGCCTCTCAACACTCAAGACACTTGTACAACTTAACACTCCAAACACGCATTCTTGTTATCTCGTGCCACCCAGTCTACCTCAAATATGACGTGAAAGACGACTTAATGAGACACCATTGAATCGATTCATCGTGTTTTTCATCCGTCCGTCACTTACCGTCCCTCAAGCACCCGATCCGGTACATCATGGGCATCTTGATGATGAACGCGAACATGTCGTCGATGAAGGTGTTGAGCGCCTTGTATGTCATCATGCGCCAGGGTAAATGGGCCACCGACTTCATCTTGTAGTTGATGAACAGCTGCGGGGTCATCATGATAAAGCCTGTCGAAAGGGGAATAGCACAGCTTAAACGCTGAACTAGAGTACGAGTCCTAGTGAAAAAGTGAAATCAGTTTCCATGAGTGCAGTATGCAACTCCACAACAATTCTACAGGGCGGCAACAATGGTCACAGCAATGACCGACACCGTCGGTTCAGCCCATGACTGTCCAGGCGGGCTTCCCTTGCTGCAGCCCACCGAGCCGCCACACACGGCGAGGGACTTACCGAACGTCAGTAGGAAGCCGTACAGCATGGAGAGCACCCACGAGTACCAGCCCTTGTGCTCCATGTAGACCACGCTGTAGACGGCGTAGCCGCCGAGCAGCGGGAACAGTGCCCACGACAGGTACCTGATGACGGACAGAGCCACAGTCACCCTCGTGACGGAGACAGCCGACGCCGTCCCTCAATACCAATGGCCGACAAAACACTCTGTTTAAAACGTGCGCCAGCCAGCGCAAATACGATCTTACCGAGTAAATCATATCAAAATTAATCGTGACGTGTAAAGCAGAACCAATAATAAAGATAACGTTCTAACCAACACAATTTCCCAGTTATTACTGGCTGTTACAGGCAAACAGCAACACCGACAAAAATAATTAACTTGGCGGATACTTGGAACATAGATTACTCACTTGAAAGCCATCTTGTCGTACTCTCTGGTGCTGGACTCCACATAGGAGCCCTTGTCCTCGAACGAAATGCGAGGAATGATGCCCAGGATGCGGTTCTGGCGGTCTATCTTCACATCAGATACCTGGGATGGGAGGTAAACGTTTAGGCGGCAGCACCAGTCAGGGAGTCGGCAAGTCACCCGCGGCTGACTGGGAGCACCATACAACCCATTGCGCACTTATCGGAACACACAAGCACGATATCATGTCATCTATCACATACCACATTTACATTTAACACCAGCTGCTACAGCCTACACCACCTTTCAATAAAACGACAATAAATCGGTTACTTCCTAATAATCGTAACCAAACCTGGCGCGGCGACTCTCCATCTAGTGAGGTCACCGGTACGCACCTTGGTGATTTTCCAGCACTCGATGGCCATTCCGATGGCACAGCTGATCCTGATGACGGCGTTGGTGTCGTTGTCCAGCACGTACAGCATGATGACGCCCGCCTGGAACACGCCGAAGAACACCGAGCGCACCGACAGCCCCTCCAGCGACTCGCGGTTGTTCCAGAACTGGATGTCTGCGAAAATGATGGCCAATGGTTAGTGGTCAGCACTGGTCAGTGGTCGTACACTTCGCGTAACATTCGGACTTCGCTTTTGAACATATACACACATGACTTATGACGATGTTTCATTTTAACATTGTCTCGAAGATATCTTTGTAGGACTTGTTTCGGTAGAATGCGTATGCTTATAGTGTTTAACATGTTACACTAGAAGGTAACTTCTAAAGATTAGGCAGCATGGTCCAACGAAAAAGACTGAGCAAGTGTCAACTCGCCACCATTGACAGTGAGACAGAAGAGGCAAAGCCGGCGTCAGCGGGCGTACGTACCGTTTTTGAATGCGAGGAACTCGAAGACGCTGTGCAGCAGCGAGACGGCCACTGTGAGCGCCATCAGGTACGGATTTGTCTCCAGGATTGCCTCCTTCATCGAGTCCTGGCGGCACCGGCGACATACCGTCAAACAAGCTATGTAATTACACAATTAGCGATACACCGTACTGCCGAGAATATACAGCAAGACAAATCAACGAACCGGAGAGGGCGGATGTCATAAAACATAAGCACGACGTTTAACGACTGTTAAATGCTTAAAAGGATAATGAAAGGGTGAAGTGGGCTACAAACGATAGATAATCTGCAAAACTGCATATTACCTAGCTCGCTGCGCTGTTTCCACCACTGCACAGCATGTCACAATTCGCTGCACACAAACTGATCTCGTACTACCTGTGCCACTGATAAAAAGCTGGACTACAAACGCATGACAATGCTCCGCAGCATTACAGCTTTGTTAGAACCAACTGGCAAGGTTGTGTCTGTTTTAATCTGTTCAGGTCCCTGTTTCAATCTGTTCCGGTTCCTGTTTCAATCTGTTCCGACTCCCACCTGGTCCTCGTCGTTCTCCTCGGCGGCATCGCCGAGCAGGTTGGCCGTCCACTTGTTGCGCATGCCCATCGAGCTGTACAGCTGGAACTTGAAGAAGGTGATGGGCTGGAAGGTGAGCAGCAGCTGCAGCTCCTTCATCTGCCGACCAAGAAAAAGTTAGACGTCAGACGGAGAAGAGTGTGACGACTGACAGTGTGTCTCTCAGGAAGCAGTGCACTGTGCACACGATCCTCACAGGAAGACGGCAGATGGCGAGAGGACGGTACCCAAAGAAAGCGAGACACAGAGGGCACGCGAAACAAAACACAAAGGCCTCCAAAAGCCCCAATAGCACAACAATCGGAAGGCACGGTAACCACAGAGCACTGACAACAACCAGAAATAATAGCGCACTGAGCACGATGTTCGGAAAGCACAGCGCCTTGAGAATGAGGGCATAACACCAATGAGTATAGCACTGACGGAGGAAGACATCAAGAAACAATTATAATTCATCTGCTCACCGTGTCGTTGATGGGCATGTAGTCCTTGTTGATGTTCCAGTAGTCGTTGATGAAGAGGATGGGTCGGTAGCGCTCCCCGGATGGTGTGAAGTGGATGTACTCGTCGATGGGCGGTACCAGAGCCGCCTTGGTCCACGTGGTGAAGTCGTGCACGATGCTGATGGTCATGTTGGGGTGCCAGTGCGAGAGACGCTCCGACTGTATCGTATCGGCCTTCTGCAAATCGGAACAGAGGCGGACACAGTGTCAAAGGCAGACAAAAGGTGAGTCGGTTGGGTACAAGGTCAGATGCAATCATACGGTGATATACTCAGCATTTACACACACACGTACATCAGCTGGGCAATTGTGGGTCATACTCATTTATCATCACTTGACATGTCACTTATTCTAGCGTTGTTCGAAAAAAATGAGCGTGGAAATGGACGACCCTTAATTTGACCTGTTTGAAGCGGGTGCGAGGTAGAGTGGAAAACTATCATCATTGTTGTTCGATGTGATAATTGACTGTCCTCAAATATTTCAGGAAAATGACAGCAGGGCTCTTTGTGTGTAGATGGGCATAAATATCGACGACAAACGTCGACAATTTTGCGCTACTGGTTCCAACAATAACAAGACTTCGAGCTTCTATCCTGAATGATTGAAACAGTAGTAATGGTGTACGATTATGAAATTTGAGAACATTAACTGCGTTAATTAGCGATTAATAGGTGTTGGTAAAGGTGGAATTTAGAAACCGTTAAGACGAAGAATGTATTAATCGCTCCGTCGTCGGTCACTGGCCAGGGGACGGGGTCTGGGGATGCTTGGAAAAGCCGCCGTGTGGGGGATGTCACCAGCCGCGGCGGATACAAAGGTCACACACAGGACGCCGCCAACCACACAGCGCTCCCGACCGAGACACCATTGTGTCACCAAAAGCACCTGGCCATCAGCGGCCGCGGCAGCGAGAGACTGCGCCATTTTACGGTCCAAGTTCCGTCCAAGCGGCTTGGTCCTTGTGAAGCGGACCGGAACGAAAATGTTGCAGCTTTTAGCTGCCCGGAACTGGGGCCGGCCACTTGCATGGCTCGACAAGAGGAGGGAGGGGGCAAAGAGTCTTCAACTTCTCTAACAATGCATCCGGAAGCGGATGATAGGTTACCTTGGGTTACAATGACGCTACAACTCAGGTCATGTAATGCCCGCATTATCTTCTCATGTAACATGTACTGGCAAATCATGGTATGATTTTCCGGTGCAGGGGACGATCAAAGGCAAACACGCATCAGATAACACAGCACGCAATTACGTAGCTATTAAAACAATAACTACGCTCTTTGTGATTCTGAAACCTTGCAGAGTTATACAACTATTCTGGCACAATCTGAATTTGATCTGATGTAAGCCATATAGTTTGAGTCATTTATAACTGATGAAAGCAGTAAATGGCATTCGATCGCCTATCCTAATGTCTGCGTATCGTCCTGATAATCTTTTTTTCTTTGTAAGACGGCAGTCTAGTACTACGAAACTACCTACCGTTCATATCGGAGTACCTACCCCATCTATAGGTCATAGCTCATCAGTCCGCACTTGTGGCGGACATCACCTTTGAGGCCCACATCATAAAGCTGAGGTGACCATCTTTGATACTTTGCATTGTTCAATGAGCCTTTCTGCATTCATGTGACTAAATAATCCTGTCATGCCCATGACGCGAACGGGCTGAAAGTTCAGTAGCCCACGGAGCAATAGGCGTAGGTCAATGAACGACATCGTCAGATGCCTTTTGTCAGGTCTATCTTAGTTCCAGGTCTTCACGAACCATTCATCCATCCGCCTCGCCCACCACGCTGGGTCGTGTGACAAAGCGGCCCGGTTTTCCCCACCATTGACTGGACTGCGGAGCGGGCCGTAGCTCCAAGGCGTCGGCCGAGACGGCGTTTCGTACCGCCCGCCCCGAACGCATTGTCTTGGCTGACGTCACCGACAAAAGGCTGCAGCTCCGCCCGGGCGGTGTCGGCGGGGCCAGCAGCGGTGGTGGCGACAGTCGAACACCATGCAGTGTCCAGGTGGGCCGCTGCTGCTCCTGTGTGCGGTGGCCACCGCCAGCGCCCTGCGGCCGTGGCTGGAGTCCTCCCTCCGCCACCCGCCCTGCGCTACCGTCACCCTCACCACCACAAAGATCCTCTACAGGACTGTCGAGAGGCCCTGGTGTGCCCCCGTGCGCGCGCCTCCGCTGGCAGCTGGGGGTGTCGAGCGCTGTCCTCCGGGCAGGCCGGAGTGTCCGACTCTGACGACACACGGCGGCTTTGGCAGTCACGGCAGCCTGACGGCACATGGAGGCGGCTTCGGCAGCCTAACAGTGCCCAGCGGAGGCCATGGCGGCTACGACAGCCTTACTTTGTCCGGAGGTAGCCATGGGAGCCTTACTTTACCCGGAGGCGGCTTTGGTAGTCTCACGACACACGGAAGCAGCCACGACAGCCTTACAGTGCCTGGAGGAAGTCACGCGAGTCTCACAGTGCCCGGCGGAAGCCATGCGAGTCTCACAAGGCCCGGTGGAAGTCACGGTAGCCTCACAGGACACGGCGGCGGCCTGACGCTGGCCACAGGACATCCAGCCAGCCTCACAGCCACCGGGGTACACCCGACGCTCAGCAGTGTCCCGTTCGTCAGTGCGAGGCCCAGCGGTGCCTGGTGGACACGGCCGCTCTCTGGCGGTCCAGGGAAGCCCGCCGTCATCATCAGTCAGTTTACCCAGCCGCCGCCGCCCGCCACCGTCGACCCTAATCGTAACTTCATCGTCGGCAGGGAGACCATTTACTTCTGAGCGAGTTCACCGCAGCTCGGAGCAGACCATCAGCCGCGGTCAGCCGTCCGTACCACATGGTCTGAGTAAACTATCAGGATGGATAGGCGGCTGATGACTCTGCTGGAAGCCAATGACCGGCACTTCACGACCAGTGGCTTTGTGTAACCGTCGACCGACCCCAGCCAGTCCAGTGAACCTCACTGAACCGTCCACCGTGCGCGCGTGGTGTCACCAGTGGCCAAACAAGATGTAGAAGCCGTGTTCAAGAGAGAATTCGGGCAATCTGCCGCATTGATGCACTTCGCACTGATACCTGGCAAATATGCGCATATGCTTTGTGTATGCAGTGATGCAAGGCTCTGTGAATTAACCCTCGTCTGACTATAATTTCCCAGTGCAATAGGCCAGGCCTTGCTATGACGCCTGAACATCTTTGCCTCTAAATGGCATAGCAGAGCCTAGCGAAAAAAGGAGCTCGTTCAACCTATCAGTTGTATTAAGCCGGTTTCCGAATGGCGCTTGCCACAATAACCTTATCTGTTTATCGTTAAAGTGAATCTACTGTAAATAAACATGCGTAAATAAGATGCTATATGAATCATGTAAGATTATAATATGTGCGGTACTCCATCCAGCCCGCTCCGATAGAAACTGGCTCGAACATTCCATCAAGCAAACACTTCGGCAAACAAGCAGCCAAGCAAGTAACTACGCAAACTTTTTCACTCTCCTATGTCCCCATAGCTCTAAACCTAATCTGAAAGGACGTGCGGTCGCATTGTTTTCATGCATCGCTTCAACAAGCTCGAATAATAGGGCACACTCGTATAATTTTCCCATAAAACTCAACGATACAAAGGCGAGGGTACCGTGGACCGGCTACGAAAATACCGTGACTCCGAATGACCATTATTGAGGGGCCAGTGATTCTATTATCACGGGGCAGTAAATAATAGTCAAATCAGATATGCCAGCAATGTCCAGACACACGTGGTGACCCAGTACAATGTTGCGGATGTCCCTCGCATCACAGACTACCAATTGACCACGGCGTTAAAAACGGGTAGCGTCCAATTTCAAGGTCTGATAGTTTCCTGGACTCAGGGTGACTCAGCAGTTATGGCACCTGCTCGACCTCCGGTTCGATCTTCATTGGTCCTTTCACAAAGCAGGAGCTTGTTCGAGCAAGGCCGTTCGAGGTCAGGGCAACAGTCAACAGCCCACACCGTCGCATTAGACCACCCCAACTATGCAGTTTGTATCTGTGAAGCACCTGTCGATGGCCCATTGAGCACGGTGCGGCTACTTCGAGTCGGTTCGCGAAGCGTCGGCCGTCGTGCCGAGTCACTTTGGAGTCACGCCACGTCACGTTTGACTCATGCCGCGTCACGCTGCCGGCGGCTGGGGACGAGTCATGGCCGTGGGCTGCGTTCCGGGCGCGTGACAGGAGCGGTCGAGCCTGCCACACGCCGGCGGAGAGCGACGGTCATCAGCGCACCCACCGCGTCACAGCCGCTCCTGACGACCGGCCGGCGCGGTCAGTCTGGGCCGAGCCGCCGAGCTGGAAGGTGCACCACTCAGGACTGGTATCACTCGGGATAAGACTGACTGGGATACCAAGTGGAGGAAAGGTGTAGGTGTCTACGGTGTGCAAAAAAACCGTCGCCAAAGACTCCACCAGGATAGTTATCGACGCAATCTTGGAGAAGAGCCTTCATCGTCGCCAGTGAACATGATGTTGGTCTTACGCCGCCCCGTCGGCGGACCCGGTGCCCCCAGCCGCTGGTTGGTGGCCGTTGTGGCTCTCGTGGTGCTGTCCACAGCTAACGCTCAGCTGGTCATCAATGGCCAGACCGTGTCCTCTCTGCCCCCGCCCGGCCGCTCACCACTGGAAGTCAACGGCGCCGAGGTGTCTGCTCCTGTCGCCGAGCCTCGGCCACCAGTCGATCTGCCGCAGCCCGAGGAAGGCGAAGCCGGAGCCGACGTCGCTATCGAAGTAGATGTCCCGAGTCTTACCACTCCATTACCGCTGCCCGTTCAGCCGCAGGAAGGACTCGTCATTAACGGCCGGCCGGTGTCCGCGCCGCTGCCAGCCACGGTGACAGTAACGGTGACGACGGTGGCGTACCGTACCATGATGCCGTCCGACTGCAGCTCTGTGCGTCCGGTACCGGTCGGTGTCAGCGGCCACAACAGCGCGCTGTTTCCCGTGTGGCCGCCGCCGGCTCCGGCCGTCCGTCCGTCCGTCACCATGGTGCGTGTGCCGCAGACGGCCGAGCCGGGGAGGGTGAAGGTGCGAGTATTAGCACCTACTGGATACTATCTACCGCCGCCGCCGCCTGCCGCCGCTTATACTCGCGCCGGGGCTCACCAAGACGACCGAGAGCCGAGCCCGACTGGAGCGGATTTCTCCTGGCTGTCACCTTCCAGTGACACTCAGGAAGCTGCGAACAGCGGTGCCGCCCGCGTCCAGCACACCACCATTCCGGTGGCCGGCTCGCCCTGGCGCACTGTACCGGCCGGCGGTTCGTACTCGCAGCCTTGGGGTGTCATGGTGCCGCCGCCAGCCCTGTCAGTGATGCTACCGCCGCCAGCATCGGCACAACGGCCACACTGCGAGCTCTGTGGCGTCCTTGGCCTCTTCTGAACGACACAGACGGGCGAAAATGAACAGTGCACACTGAGGTGGGACGCAGCGCACTACCCAGTCGCAGCGGTGATCGAATGTTTTGTGCTCCAATGAGGAAGTGTTGAGTGCTGGCGTGCCGCGAACGAACCACTCCTCCTACTCCAGTGGCGTGCTCAGACAGAACAACCAACAGCGAATCAGCAGCATTAGTAACCGAGGACAGCAACAGAAACCAGTCGCGATAGCGCGAGACCAGTTGACCCGAATGTATTGAGGTTTACGGGCGCATAATCACATCTCGCGTTATCGCGAGATGCGCAGTGACATAACTGGACGTGACTGCGCAAAAGCAATCGCTCCATGTGTATAGCTATTGTGTACACGGCACAAGCTCAATAGCACGGAGCAATGGTTCGCGGATAATGACAGCCTGTTTCCTGAGGGGGTGCTAATCTGAGAAGAAAACGGCCTCGGGGACAAACGACCTGAAGGGACATAAGCGGTCAAGGACGCGGCTCCCTCGACTTTGGCCGAGGATAGACTGCGTCCATCCGAATTCTTGATGACGATGAGTTGGGGTTTAGGGCGCCCACGAGGTTGTCAGTGTCCACAACAGAGTTCTTAGAGATAGTTGCATGCTTCACATCAGTCCGCATTAGAATGGCGATAATAGAATCGTGACCAGCGTTCCTAACATGACCCATTCAAGTTATTTAATAAACGGCGGACGGATGCACCTTTTTAAGGCAAAGGTATTGGATGGAGGCGGGTAAAGCTTTTGGTACAAGACTCGACGATACAGCGAGGTTCAAGGATGTGACGAGGCTGCTAGGCTCACCAATTTTCAGACATTCCTTATGTTGCTTAGAATATGTTGTGACCGAATTCGGACCAAAGCATTGAGGTCTTTCTTCGGATGATTTGCTTACAGCTAAAAGACATGTGCCACATCCATACATGCATGCATGCATGAATAATTGCACAAAAAGGAGATCTAACTTGAAATCAAATGACGACTGCAGACATTCGTATCGCTGTGGAAAGCCCGCGGCCGGCATATTCACAAACAATCCAATAACATCAAGGAAGCCTTTTTTCTAATCGAGGCAAGGTCAATTTGCAGTCGACCACCGCCGTTCCTGCTCATGCAGTCAACCCAGAGTCGATCACCAGCGGCAGAGGAGCTGTTCAGGGGCCGCCCCGTCACTGGGCTGCGTTCACTTACCTTCAGGTCCTCCTCCGAGATTTCAGAGCTGCCCGTCAGCAGGTTCTGAGTCCGCTTGTACACCTTGCGTTTGAATCTGTGGACGATTTCCAGTGCGTCAAAGCCAGTCGGAACCGAGCAACGCAGTGGCTCTTCGGGAGCATTTCTGCGAAATGAAGTAAAATCTCACACCAGTCGGCAAAAGCAGTTAAAAAGCGATGTTCCCCGATGCCAACCAACCCTAGGCGAGCATGCTCCACTCCTTCTCCACGCCAAGACCACCTTATGACGGAGAACCCCTCGGACTCACTTGTTTAGTCTTTTTGTGCCCGAAATGGTCTCTTGTCTCGAGTACAGCTTGCCCTTTGAAGGATCCGGTGATCTGCCCTCGCGCACGATATACACGTGCAAATACACGGAGCCGTTGTTCAGTACCGCCTGAAAACACACAAATACCGTACCGCGTTAGCTTGAAGAAACAGGCGCTGTATCGTAAATCGACACCTTTCCGAAATAAACGCCGTATTTAATCCACCGACTAACTTCACTCGACGGGTTAGCACAGCGCCACATTATTTGTCCGGCAGTGCGTATTACAGCCTCCCTTAGCCGCCGCACCTGCGAGGGCCGGTAGGTGAGCTGGTGGGAGAAGATGCCGTCGCCGCTCGGCCCGCTGACCCAGTCGCCGTACTGAAGTCCCAGCTGGCGCCACACCAGCTGCTCCGGCCGACTGAAGTCCGGCCCGTCCTCCGACTCACTCACGTACGCGTACATGTCCTGAAAGTCAGAGCAGCGTCGTCAGACATCGACTCACTCACGTAGAAAACATGTCCTGTCGGTCCAAGCAACAGTAATAGGCAAATCCGTCGAGAAAATATGTAATATGGAGACCTCCAAAAAAGTTTAATTTCTACTAGCATCAGTTCAGCATGAACTACTGGTAAACATTTTCTACATAAACATCTCAGTTCAACTTCCACAAATTCAATTATTCTATTTTGACATCTGTAATCGCTAATCACGAATGTACTGCCAGCATTCTGTTTCTTCTACTTCACTTCCGAACAGGCAAACTGTATAATCATACCATGAAAGTTCCGTTCTCGAACATGTTCGTGGCGTATATGGCTCCGGTCGGTTTGCCACCAGGTCCAGTTGCCGTCTGGGGCGGCGAACGCCTGGAACGTGCACCAAACATTGGTTGATATCAATAAAATCAGAATGCAGTCAGAAAACAAAGCTGTCAGAAAAAACGAACGGTGATAAGTGACAGGCATCAAATCAACCCCGAGTTCACTTTCACAAGACGCAACACATCTACTAATTTTGCTGTAGGCATTCTATGCATTTGATTATAGCAATATCTCAGAAGCTGTGGTATGCCGGATCTTAAATAGACATTCCTTGCATCACCCCCTTTCCGCCAATCAATCACTCAACATGTTTCCAGTTGTTCTTACCTGAACATTGACGATATGAAGTAGATGATCATGGCTCGGAAGACGAGTCCCTTGCAGATGTCGAAGACGGACTGCTGCGGCGGCCGCTGCTGTTGGTCGCCGCCGGCCGCCGTCGGCTCTCCGTTGGCCACCGGGCCGCTGCCGGCGCCGGCCGCTGCCACCTCGCCTGGCATTGCTGCTGCCCCTCTGTGACAGCTGGGTAACAGAGGACGGTCTGACTACACAGCACTGCAGCTGCTCACCAGCGACCACCAGTATGATAATGCTGATGCTGTTTGCTGCACTGGATTCACAAATGATAATCAAATATTAACCAAAAATTTAGCCTCTGAATTTCTAGAATCTAGAGTCAGTTACAAAGACAGCCAGTCTAAGGCCAGTTTTGCCCAAGGAAAAATTGCTGTCCACTACTATTTCTAGACTTAAGACTCAAACTCCTCCATGAAGCTCTTCAGCAATATGAGCTAATAACACATGATATAATAGATACCTATGCAGCCATAAAAATATCAGCCACCTTAAAACTCTCATCTCTTATCTGAGGTTATTTTGGAGTAGCTAGCGAAACTTATGGTCAACTCTCAAACCTAAAAATAACTGAAGGAGGCAGATTTCCTGTGGTTTAACTTGCCTCTTATGGTTTATGGCACCATGCTGTCAAAATTTGGTACCAGAGTTGTTCTGCAAGAATTATATACTTAAATAGCAAAACAGAGTTTTGGAGGCCAAAAAAAAAACAGCCAAAAAGTTTGAAGTGATCAATGCTAGTTTCAAGTCAAGCCAAAGGAAACATGAGAGCTCATAACTTATGTGAAAAATAATAGCTAGGCTGACTCCAGAATGAAAAGCATAGCAACATGGTATATTTGTCACATCAACTAGGATAACAAATCCATATGAGTCCACACCAACCAGACTAGAAAGCAGACATCTGCAGCTGCAGCCTGCACCAACAAGAAAGTGTCTACCTTTGACCATTAAATTTTGCTGTCTTCAATTTTGATGTGAAAACTGCAAAAACAATCCATTATATCCAAGCCAGCCCGATCAATCCTCCTGTACAACAATTTATTGGACAAGTATATAACCCTGGCATTGCACAACACTATGTTGGGGCCTGCACTGCTTCACAACAACGCTGCAATACACTGAGGTAAGTCAGCACTGCTGCTGGCCGCACACCAGAGGGCTGTTCACGGGCCCTGTGTGCGGTCGGACCGCACACAGCCTCCAAGCTCCGCCCACTGCGTCCCTACGTCAGCCTTCCGTCACCGCACACAGCGACCGCTGTGGCCGGTCGGGACCGGCCACAGCGGACCGTCCACCGCACGCAGCCGTGACGTCAGAGTCGTCTACCCATCCCCTACCCCCACGCCTGCTGGACGTACCGCACACAACGCACGCAGCAGTGTGCGGTGCCCGTGAACACCCCTCAGCTGAGTTTGAGTTCCTCAGCAACTGTAATTTTGCTGAGATGCCACACTTCATGCCAGCAATTATTTTTTGAGTGGCCTATGCATCTCATAAGTACGATTTTCTGGGGTTTAAGCGGTAGGTTTTGCCCTTTTTACATTTCTGGCTTTATCTCAGAAGCTTATCAATATACAATGAAGCCATTTTAGAAGATCATGGCAGGGCAGGCATGTGTAGACTAAATCAATCGCATCTTCAACCCTCAAAAGCTTCATACGAAATATGAAGCCATAAATTTACTTAATTTCATAGGGGAAAACCTACCGCTAAAACCCGCGAGACCTGAAACCATCGTACAAAACTGTCAAGCCTCAGCCTAGGCAATGAATAACTGAAACCTTTTACTTGACTGTTGGTTATACTGGAGCCCTCACAGATCATAGGGATGGAAGATAAAATTATAAGATACTAGCAGGATATCTCGTCGATCCAATCGTACCTAGAAATACTGTATTCAAACACCCTTATCTTCACGTTCTCCCTCGGTCAACTTGTGACGTGACGAGTGAAAGAATGTCAAGCCCGAGGGGTGTTCACGGGCCCTGTGTGCGGTCGGACCGCACACAGCCTCGAAGCTCCGCCCACTTCGTCCCTACGTCAGCCTTCCGTCACCGCACACAGCGATCGCTGTGGCCGGTCGGGACTGGCCACAGCGGACCGTCCACCGCACGCAGCCGTGACGTCAGAGCCGCCTACCCATCCCCTACCCCCACGCCTGCTGGGCCTCGTTTCATAAAACTCTGCCGTAACTTACACCTTTCCGTAATTCACACCCTTTCAAACTACGGAGCGCAAATAAAGCCGTTTCACAAAGCCACAACTGGAATTGTTTACACCTCCGTAACTAAGCACATTTGCGTAGTTACCGTAATTTATCAAGCGTCCTACAAATTACAATTTCATGTCAACACTTATTTTTTTACGAGAATTTACAAAACAATTATGTTGAATTTAAATCTTAAAAATTATGTATGAAAAAACAAAATTGATATTGATGACCATCCTTTATTAAAACAATATATTAAAAACAGCAGAAAGCCAGCTAAGCAGAAGTGCCTAACTACGAAAGTGGCGCGGCGCGGCGAATAAACAAAATTCCGATAGTGGCCACAAAAAAGCGACTGGTACAGAAGATTTGCAGTTTCTTTTTCTCATTTTGGCTGTTCTTTCTTCCTCACCGGGCTCAACATTATAAAATATATTAAAAATTAGCTTCGAATCTTCACATTAATTCAAAATCACGCAACATTTTTGTGCGTAGTTTACACCACTGATATCAAGAGCTTGATAAAATATTCGGCGTTAATTACGTCGTTTTATGAAACCCAAATGGCATCAATTGGTCCGGAATCGAGCATTTGCCGTAAATGAAGCTCCGTACTTTCGATGGCGTGAATTACTCCGGTCTCCGGCTTTATGAAACCGAATTGGCATCAAATACGCCAAATCTGGCATAATTGACGGAACGCCGTAAGTAATTCCTTTTATGAAACGAGGCCCAGGACGCACCGCACACAGCGCACGCAGCAGTGTGCGGTGCCCGTGAACACCCCTCCGGGGTGCTTTCATAACCATGCTCATAAACCCACGTGACCCTTGGAAATTCTATACAAAAAAATACGATTAAAGCAAATATGATCAATTCTTTCCTAAAATATCCACTTTTTATTTCATGTTATGCATTTTTTTCAATCAATTACTTACAAATGTCCCAACTTACTTCAATAAAATTCAATTGAGGTCAATAAGTTCACATGATAAAAAGGATAACTAAGCGCCTTTAGCCGCTTCTCAATTGTCTCAGTTCTCATGCTCAGAAAATATTTAGAAATGATGAACGAAAACTGCATGTAGAACAAAATATCTCAAAATATCTGAAGACTTTAAAAAAGTTTAAAGTTAAAAAAAACCTTAAAATAAAATTTCAGTGGCAAAAAGTAACTTTTAAATTGATTATTAACAATGACTACAGCAAATTTATCATTTATTTTATATAAGTATAATTTTAAAAGCATCGTGAAAGTCAGAGAAGGCAAAAATCTGGAGCTAGGTCCACAAAGTCTTGAAAGTTGAGATTTTCTCTCAGGTAGCCCTTACCTCATGCTCTTACCTCATTGGGTTCCATCAAGTCTGTAAGTAGGCAGGGAAGGATAGGCTAGAGGATAGACAGAACCCTACACATATAAGACGCGCCAGCCAATAATTAAGCCAGTCATATGGTAATGTCATGCAAGACTTGACTGGAATCATGCGCCTAACAGGTTACACAGTGCTAACAAGTTTTGCTAGAATCGATAAGAATTTCCGATAAGTATATATAAGATAATACAGTGTACACCTATTTCCATGCGATAGAGTTCATTCTGTGAAAGTCTACTACACGTTTGAGCGCTGTGAGATAATACACGGATAATACAGTGCATATCTATTCTATGAACTTATAGAGTTCATTTTGCAAATGAGTGTTTATTGCACGCTTGAACGCTCTGAGATTGGGTGCGCAAACGGCATCCGGCGGTAAAGAGTTCCATAGCGGAATACATCGGACAGAGAAAAATCGCTTCCGGGTATCAGTGACAGTGGAGGGAATATGTATCTTATGACGATGGCCCCTGGTTCTAGAGCATGGAGGTGTGTGAAATAAGTCATTGGGGTGGATGCAGGACTGAGCATTAAATATTTTCCAATACAGGATCAGGTCAGCCCGCAGAAGCCTACCATACACTGAATATAGTTCCAACTTTTTTAGGCGTGTTCCATAGTCAAGGCCCGCCATGCCGTCAATATGTTTTGTCCACCTTCGTTGGACTCCTTCAAGCGCACGAAGATCTTGCACATACCCAGTGTTCCACAAGCATGACGCATATTCAAGAATCGGTCGGATATGAGACAAAAATAGAAAAAGCATTAAGTTAGCGGATCGACAAACTGTGGATTTTAAAAGACTTTCAGCCAGCCCCCCTGCCTTATGGACGGTAGCCTGTATATGATCGTGAAATTTAAGCTTGACATCGACAAGAACACCCAAGTCCTTTGCCTTTACTTCTACTGGTATCCGTTTTCCGTCTAGAAAGTATGAGGGTTGGTCCAGTCCTGCAGAAGATCTAGCAAAACGGAGTGCTACACACTTATCTGCATTAAAGTTAAGACCCCAAGACAAGGCTGTTGCATGAAGAATGTTAATGTCTTCCTGTACGTCTTGGCATGCAAGAACATTTACATCTGATCGACCATTGGAGTCTGTACAAGAATAGATTTTTAAATCGTCGGCAAACAGTTTGTAGTTGCTCTTTAGCTGGGATGCAATGCTGTTAATATAAATAAGAAAAAGGATGGGTCCAAGAACAGATCCCTGTGGGACACCACTCAGCACTGTTTTAGGCTGACTTGATTGGCCCTTGATACACACTCTCATAACTCGATCTTTAAGAAAGGAGGTTATCCACTCTAGTAATCTACTGCGAATCCCAAGGCTGAACAGCTTATCGATAATAAGGTCGTGCACCACCACATCAAACGCTTTGCTAAAATCAAATAGAATCACATCATTAACTGCACCTAAATCAGTCTGTCTTGACACCATGTCATAAACCAGGAGAAGCTGATCAACAGTAGATCTACCTGATCTAAAGCCAAACTGGTGAGGGTTCAGAAGTTCCTGGGATTCGAGGTAGGACATTAATTCTTTACAAACTATCCTCTCCATTAGCTTGGATGGAACAGACGTAAGGCTTATAGGGCGGTAGTTGAGAGGGTTGTATCTCGCCCCTTTCTTAAATATAGGTACAACCAGAGAGGTTTTCCAGGCAGATGGCAAGGACCCATTCTGGAGGGATCGGTTGAGTATGAGAGTCAGAGGGTATGCTAGGTGAGTGGCACAGTTCTTCAGGAGAAGGGGGTGGATTTCATCGGGCCCCATGGATGAACTGCCATCAAGGTGGAGAAGACCTTGAAGAACTTGGTCCTGAGTCAAGGTGATGTTCTCAAGCAATCCATCTGATTGCTGGTGAGGATGTGGATGCCTTGGGACGGACCTACTATACACAGAGGAGAAACAGTCTGCAAATTGGTCTGCCATGGATTTAGGGTCGTCACTGAGTTGGCCCGATTGCAAGGTGAGTGGGCCCACAGTGGGTCGGCCTGTCTTTTTCTTTCGAAGGTAGGAGTGAAGGAGCTTCGGGTGATCCTGGGATCTCAGGATAAGACTTTCTTCATACTGAGCTTGGGCTTTCACTGCATATGTTTTGCACTGCAGGGCCCAGTTTCACCAAGCTCTGTTTGGGGTAGTTTCGGCGAAACTACCCCAAACCAGTTTCACCAAATGGGGTAGGTTCTGATTGGCCACTTCCAAACTACCCCATGGGGCAGTTCTTATTTTACCCCAAATTTGCCATGCAAACAGATGCTCACGGTCCATGAGCATCTGAACAAGCCAATCAATCAGCTGTTTGCCGGCAATTCTACCCCAAATATCCGACCAAAATTACGGCTGACATACGTGGGGTAATCTGTGAATATGATACGAATTGTGAGCAAGAATTGACAGTAAAATAGTAATAAGAACATATTTTATTGAAGTCCAATCACCTGTCATGTTTGAATATGCATTATTCATAGCATAGGTACTTCAAGTTTCATCCAAATATTTTACTGCATGTAGCCTGCACCACCTATGCTTGTGATCTGCATTGCAACACCCAAAAGAAGCATTATAGATGTCGCCCATAGCTGAATGCCAGGATTTTTACTTTTTTAACTGTTTTCCTTCAACAGTGACCTTGAATACCGGATGAGGAAGCCTTGAAATATAAACAATAAAAATGCACATTCTTCACGGTGGTTACATGCTGACGATGTGTCTTGTTGAAAGGATCATTGTATGTACTTCAACTTGTGTGATCTATTCAAATTATCATTCGAGGTATCTTATAGGTATGCATTACGGTCAATGTGCAAATATCCAGCAAATGTCAAGACGATAACAACTGAAATCAAAATCAAAATGCCGTACCTAAATCAGCAAGAGAATGTCGTGCATACCTATGTAATTCTCATTAGAAATAAAAAGCATATGGTGCAAGTAATTCGTAATAAGCAGTTGTTAAAAATACCAGGCCAAGTGGATTCGATACTTTCCATATCTATTTTTTATTTTTGTCGCTGTTGTGCATATCTCAATAAAGTTGCGTTAAATGTGCCGTGCATCTGTAGGTACTGTATGTATTTTGTAATGCACATTAGAAATAAAAGCATCTGGTGCAAAAGATTCGTAGTTAAAAGTCGTCAAAAATACCAAGCAAGGTGTATTCGATACTAGTAA